GCAGTTATTTAAATGAAAAATATAATGAAAGAAATATTACTGGTTTATTTTTATCCTATCTTTTTGTACTGTACAGTATATCCAAGGAAGTGAAAAATTGAGACATAATGCACAATTTAATGAATGATTAGCAGTTCAAAAGAAATATGACTTGTACATATCAACGTGAGATCTTAATGATCCATGGTCAACATGATTTAATAAGGATAATACAGTACTGTATTTGTAATACAAACTATAATTTAAAATCTTTATTACTGATTTTTTTTTATTAAGAAGATTAGGTATACACAGCAATGTGCTGCTACCCTAGTCTATATGGAATATTAGTGTAGATAAAAAACTAGCTATAAATTTATCTAATACTCCCATCTCACAGGATGGTTAGACATACTGTACATGGAATCAATTTAGAAAATACCAGCCTCAATACAAAAAACAAATCAACTCTGACTAAACAACTCTAAGCAATTTTCACAAGAGGTAAGCACTGAATCATGGAAACATTATATTATAATTACTCTTACCAGTTTCTACAAAACTCCTCTCAAACAATGTATTTTTAAACATGTTTAGGTATACATAGCAATGTGCTGCTTCCCTATTCTGTATAAAGGACCACACAGTGTAGATAAAAAACCAGCTACAAGCTCACCCAACATCCTCACCTCACAGGATGGCCAGTCATACATGGAATTAGGAGAGAACAAAATACTTAATGCTGATCTATTAGCCTCTACTGGCAAAATCTGGGTGCAGCACAAGAATATCTTCCAATATTCCTGAGTGTATGAAGTAATTACAGAGCTCAAAATATCTCATACCATTTGGTATGAAGTCACTGATAACAGGACAATCACAGATATAGTGTTGGAGAGTATGTTCTCTCAAGTAGGACTGAAAACAGATGTTTTTTTTCCACCAAGAGGACTATAAACCCATGGAACCGCCTACCCGCTGAAGCCGTAAATGCCAAATTCCAGCTAAAAAATATCATTAAGACAATTGGCGGGCCCTTTAACAAGCCGCCGGCTTTCTGTCCTCTTCGAGGTCACTAGATAGTTAGTGGCCCTTGGGTAAATTCAGTAAATATATACAATAATTGTCAGCGCATCTTCCGAGCAACAAGGACAGCTACACAGTATCTCTTAGAATTACGTAGGTAAACAACAAATGTAACATATTTGTTTACTACAATGTCGGTGCTGGCTGTAGAAGTTGAAAAAACATTGTTTTACTTCGAAATATACTAATTTTATAAGAAAATTCGACGTAAATAGGAGGCAGTAGAGCTCCGATAAGCCAGCGCTAAATCTTCAATATGAAGAATGTTGCTGCTCTCTGATTGGCCAAACGAAACACAGTAATGACCTCTATCGGCACGCAGGTGAACCAACAATTTTCTTCCTAAGTATACCTTATTGAATCGCACCTAAGCATCTTCTTAGGGCGCACTTAGGAACCTTCGTAGCAAACCCACTTACGAAGAAGTACACAGAGCTTCCTGAATCTAGGTCCAGGTTCTTGAGCCTATTGGGCACTATAATATCTACATTTACAGTCTCCGTGGTGTAGTGGTAAGACACTCGCCTGGCGTTCCGCGAGCGCTATGTCATGGGTTCCTATCCTGGCCGGGGAGGATTTACTGGGCGCAATTCCTTAACTGTAGCCTCTGTTTAACGCAACAGTAAAATGTGTACTTGGATGAAAAATCGATTCTTCGCGGCAGGGGATCGTATTCCAGGGACCTGCCCGAAACGCTACGCGTACTAGTGGCTGTACATGAATGTAACAACTCTTGTATGAATGTAACAACATTTGGAACTGTATAGAATCTGCCACCACATCACTGTGTAATGCATTCTATTTATTATCTACCCTGACACAAAAAATCTTTCTAATGTCTCTGGCTCATTTGGGTACTCAGTTTTTACTTGTGCCCCTTGTTCGTGTTCCGCCCATGCTAAATAGTTTATCTTTGTCCACCTCTATTCCCCTGAGAATTTTGTAGGTGATGATCATGTCTCCCCTACCTCTTCTGTCTTCATGGATGTGAGGTTTAATTCCTGTAGCCTTTCCTCAAAACTCATGGCACTCAGCTCTGGGACTAATCTGGTGGCACACCTCTGAATCTTCTCTAGCTTTGTCTTTTATTTAACTAGGTATGGATTTCAGGCTGGAGCTGCATACTCCAGGAGTGTATGTGTGTCAGAAAATGTTTAATGCAATGCACTGAGAACTCTGTGGGAAACATACCATATTTCACATTTGACTCCAGGACAGTTGCATTGGGTGCTCCGTAAATGCTAATACTGTATTTCTTAAAGTAGAGTATTTAACTAAGGCTGATCCTGACCAGCCCATGTCCGTCCAGTACCCCAGACTACTTTCCCTGCAAAGCTGGGTGAAGCTAGACCGATTTAAAGCCTGGCCCTTCAACCTTGGACAGACATTCTCTTATAATTACAATATAGATTATTCTAATTATATGCTGCGAACTCCTGTGATAACATACGCTCACATGAGGAAATAACATTAGAATACGCATGCATGGTTTCATTGATTACCTTTGTAAGGGAATCTTGTAAAATATTTAAAACACGATGACGGCATCAGTTAAAGGACACCCGGATGGAGCCCCTCTGATGACGAAACAATGACGTCACCAACTACGCGCCTGATTGGTGGTTCAATTCAAGGCTGCATGAACGGCTTCGTATTATTACTACGTTAAAATACCTATACAACTAAAAAATTAATCCATGTGTTTTATGTATATTTTCAGCCAGAGTTGCTTTACAATCAGCTTTGACCTACTGCTTATTAGTGACAAATAATGGATCACAAAGTAGCGTGAAAAGCTAAATGTTGGAACTATTTTTCTTAAGCGATGACGTCACGTGGCAAATGTTTATGTTCTGGTAGTGGTGGTGGAGGTGACCCCCCGAGCTCTTCTCTTCTCTCCCCGCCACAGTAAGGCTCCTTATCTCTCTTATCTCCCACCCACAGTGACGTGTTACTGATCACACCAGGCGCCGGAGATGTGACAGCAGCTGCCGGGAGGCTGAAGGTGGCTGGTGGCTGCCTCTGCCTCGCCCTCCTGGCCTGACCTCATTCATGGGTCACTTGGCAAGGATGGGTCCTCTGTCGTCCTCACCTCATTCATGGGTCCTCTGCCGTGGTGACCTCATTCATGGGTCCTCTACCATAGTGACCTCATTCGTGGGTCCTCTGCCGTGGTGACCTTATTCATGGGTCCTCTACCATGGTGACCTCATTCGTGAGTCCTCTGTCGTGGTGACCTCATTCATGAGGTACTTGGCAAGGATGAGTCCTCTGTCGTGGTGACCTCATTTATGGGTCACTTGGCAAGGATGGGTCTGCCACCTTGGTGACCTGATTTCATGGGTCACTTGGCATGGGTGGGCCCTCCAATACCTCAGTGACTTCATTCATTACTCACAGTGAATGAGGTCACTGTTAATCCATGTTTCTAACATGAATGAAATTTTGCCTGATAGAAAAATGAGGACAGTAATCAGATTTAATGTATCGGACTGGAGAAATGTCACAAGTGGAGTACCACAGGGTTCAGTTCTTGCACCAGTATTGTTCATTGTCTACATAAACAATCTACCAGATGTAAAACAGAATTATATAAATATGTTTGCTGATAAGATACTAGGGAAGATAAGAAACTTAGATGATTATCATGCTCTTGAAGAAGACCTGGACAAAATAAGTGTATGGAACACCACTTGGCAAATGGAATTTAATGTGAATACTGTAAATGTCATGTTATGGAATGTGGGATAGGAGAACTTTGTAATAAGAAAATTTTATAATTTCAGAATTGCTTTTAAATGCATGGAATGTAAAATAGTAAAGAAATTGTTCATGACTTTTGTTAGACCAAAGCTGGAATATTGAGCAATAGTATGGTGCCAATATCTTAAGAAGCACATCAACAAATTGGAAAAAGTGCAAAGACATGCAACTAAATGGCTCCCAAAACTTAAGGACAAGAGTTAGAGGCATTAAATATGCCAAAACTAGAAGAAAGAAGAAAGAGGTAATATGATCACTATGTACTAAAGAATAACGAGAATAGATAAAATTGATAGGGAAGAATTCCTGAGACCAGGAACGTCAAAAACAAAAGGTCACAGATTTAAAATACCGGTAACTAAACAAACCTGCCGAAGAAATGTAAGAAATTTCACTTTCGCAAACAGAATGGTAGATGGTCGGAACAAGTTAGGTGAGAAGGCGGTGGAGTCAAACACTGTCAGTAGTTTCAAGGTGTTATACGACAAAAAGTACTGGGAAGACGGGACACCACGAGCGTAGCTCTCATCCTGTAACTACACTTAGGTAATTACACTGGTAATTACAATGTTCATATGGCTATTTGCAATTTTTAGAGTGAAGAGTTTTAAACAGTGACCCATATCTCCTTAATTACTGTTTTAATTAAAGGAATGATTAAAACATATAAGTAAAACATCCTGAAGAATCAGTTTAAGGTGCAGGAAAAGTCAATGGACCCATTTTGGGAGAAATTTTAAGGCTGTTTTTCCTTTTGGGAGTGGAATTTCAAGTTTCATTCAGAGGAGGTACCAGAAATGTTATTTTGAAAATAGTATAGAAACCATCTCACCTTAATTACTTATTTGAATAAGTTCACAAGACATTTAATTAAAACTCTTGAGCTATAGAATGAATTTTGGGCAAGGAAAAGTCCTTGCCAGAAAAAGTCCTTGGCTTTAATCATTAATTAACATCCTCAATATCATGTATTTTCAGAAGTCATTATACATGTACATGTTCTCAATGTTAACATCACTGTGTTCATATCCTGAAAGTTACCAGCCCAAAGTTATGTTTCTTGATTGGCTACAATCAAAGCTTAGCTAGTTATTATTATACTCCTGTTAATTTACACACATTTTCCCTCAATTTAAATAATGAATCATCTTTTCCTTCTACTGTATTTCCAGATAGTGAAACCATGTCCAAAGCGAGTGCACCACCCTTCAGCGCACCTCCTCCATATGCCCCACCCAGCTACTCTCAAGCGGTGGGAGGAGTGCCGCCACAGGCACCTTTCATCCCCTTCCATGGTAGGCTGTATGCTCCAGTACTCTACTCTTCTAAATTGAATGATCAGATATGATTTTCTCATGATAGATTCATGTTGTTTATCTTTGTTTCTTGCTTCTGGCAAGTTTCTGTTCAATATCTTGAAAATTTCTTATTGGAAAAAAAAGCAGTTGCTCTTGAAATTTAACAATGAAGTCTCATAGAAAATATTTTTTGCTTAATATTTGTTTTCTGAGCATGGCTTCCTAGGTAGCTCCTCTGTGCTTCAGCTATGGACCTTTGTAGAACAGTTGTTTTGACAGATGCAAAGTATCCTTATCCTTGGAAGGATAAATACATTTTTGTATGGTGGTGTTCCTCTACCAAAGGTGGGCAGGGAGCTCAGTGGGTAGAATGTAGTTGCGCATTAACAGTATAGTTACTGCACAACTATATTCTACCCATATCACGACCCCAAATCAACATAGAAGAAGCAAGAGGTGGTATGGACCAATAGGCCTTCTAGAGTTACTTTCATTCTTATGTTCTCATACCCAACTTATACCCATTGTTTTGTGTTCTGTCTTGTGTTTGGCACAAGTTTGTTCACCTCACCCAAAACTTTTGTACCATATTACCTCACCCAAAATGAGTATAAGTACGATGAATTTGTGTGTAAATTAAGTCTTTGAAAATGTAATAAGCCATTAGGAAATGCATTTAGGCGTCAGACCATAAATAAAAATGAATTTTGGAGAATTGATATTTCCATTACCACCGACAGTGTATAAAAACACAAGAAATATTGAGAAAATTCGTGTTGGAATTATTAATCTTACTTTTTTGGTCATATTCAACAAGAACAACATTATAGGTTTAGCTCAAAAATTAAAATTAGCTCAAAACTCGGTGTTGAGTGCCACTGCCAGCAGGTAGGCTTTCACATGCTTTTCACATCTTCCTTACTTGGACGTTTGCTGATGTCCAGGCGGAAAATAGTGTTCCAGGTCTTGCAGACATGGCAAATCCTTCTGCTTCAAGCTAAGTGCCGGCCATCCTTGGACTTGTTCGTGCAGAGGCCATTTGCTTTGTAAACAGTTTTATATTTCAGTTTTTGCTTCACATTCATGTTTTCTATTTGGCTTGTTGTGTGGGCTTGGCTTTGTTGTGCTCTGGGCTGTATGCACTCTGGGTTCCTTCCCAATGCCCCTGCAGTGACAGAGATATCTTCTCTGGTATGTTCAGGAGTTTGCCTTGGAGAGGCCGGGCCACTTGGGTAGAGATTAGTACTTAGGGCTATTTGTGCTGCCCATCCTCTTGAGCATTCACATCATTAAAATGAGGTGCTAAATTGCCTGAACCTAACCAAACCGAGGACCCACAAAATAAGAAACGGGACATCACATCAATTGTTCAAGTCAGTGATTTTTAATACATCTTTGAATAGGGGATTTTTACTTCAAAATACGATGGGTTATGCAAAAGGACAGGTTGATTCACGAGTCTTTGACTTCTCTGTTTGGGCCTTAATGGCAGGGAATATTCTGTTGGCTGCGCTAGGGTGTGCTGGAACTTGCACGTTTGTTTATATGACACATTGTGGGGTCATATATTGGCATTAATTGTTTGGTCTGTTGAGCCCACATAACTTGTCTTTCAGTTCTGGTTCTGGGTGTATTTGTGATCAATGCCGGATCACTGATATATCTTGTATGCCTTCAAATGCACCTTACCTGGATAGTCACAGTTAGCAAGAACTGCTACACTAACCCCGTAATTTCCCACGAGCAGATGTTTAGAGAGTTGGAGGTTTTTTTAGAAGATGATCATGAACAAATCCACAAGGGCTGTGACGAGGATTTGAACCTGCGTCCGAGAGCATCCCAGATGCTGCCTTAATCGACTGAGCTACGACATGGTCAAAAGAAGTTGAAACCAAAGTTCTACTGAAATTACTGGATCCTGCAGCCTCTCCGAGGCACAAACCAGGGTTTTACACAACTCCCCCCATGCAATGTCAATAGGCCTTCGGTTTCAACTCCTTTACAGTCTGGGATGTTCTTGGACGCAGGCTCGAATCCTCGTCTTGGCCCTTGTGGATTTGTTCATTTGATGCATCACGCAATTGTGATTTCTGTGTGTAATGATCATGAACTTGATGCCACTGTTTTTGTGTGGTAGTGAAGAAGAAGCACATGTAATAGACAGGGTGAACAAGAACATCCTCTTTAAATTGAGAAAAAGCAGAACAAGGGGGACATAGGTGGCAGCTGGAAACAATAGAATTGAATAAATATAAGGGATTATTTGTGGAAGCGCCTTCATTCACAACTTAGTGCCAGATAAAATAAACCATTTAAACATCACAAAAGTTAAAATAAAACACTTGCTTATCCTCCTATTCCTATTTCCTTTTCATCTTCCCTTTTTTCTTTCCCTACTTTTATTTTCCATTTCCTCTTCTTTTACTTCCATCTCTTCCTCATCCTCCTTTCTCTCCTTCCTCTCTTTTTTGCCATCGCCCTCCTCTTCCACTTTTGCTGTTGCAAAAAGAGTTGGAGGATTACAGTGCCCTATGAATCATTGCACCCTCTGTATCATTGCACCCTCTGTATCATTGCACCCTCTGTATTTGTTGCATCACACTATTCTTATCTCGAGATATGCTGGTCTGGAAATACAATACAGTATTTTTTTTTATCCTAGTAAGATTTAGATTTAGTAAGTTTTTATAACAATTTGGCAGTGATATATTTTGAGTTTATTTCATATTTTTGTCTTATTTCAGATTTTTTGCCACTACTGTATATATTTTCTTCCATCTCTTCTCTTTTACATGTAACCAACTTACAGTATTTATATACGAATTGTCTTGTCTGTCATTTTGTTATTTTGCAAGAAATGTTTGTTTCCTTCTTATTATCTATTTCTGGCTAACCTTTGTTTCCTTCACTTATAATTTGTGTTACTTATTGAATACTGATGATAGTAGATGATGTGTCCCAGCCACAGGTGTGTGTAACACGCCTTGTCTCTACCACATGGACTCTCATATTTGACATTCATTACGTTAAGATTTATTTCTTATAAGATTATCTCCCCAAAACAGGTATGAAGCTGCATTTTTCCAGCTGTCATTACATATGGATACATTTTATGAAATGCTATTAACATTCAAATTGGCTAATTGTTTGTTCTTGTTAGATGTGTTTGTTAAGAAGTAAAAGAGGCATGTTACTGGCTAACTGCTGAGTGTTTTGAAGTAATTTTCAGAGGAAATAGCAGTGTTTGTATGAGTAATGGTAAATTGGCTATACAGGACAAGTCTATATCATGATATACTATTTTCTTTGTGTTGTCATGTATAATTCACAGGGGACCCACTCACTACTGTTGCCTCGTCTCCATGGCAACCTGCATAACAAATGCTCCCACTGGACCTTGCCATGTGAGCTTTTCATATTTTGATGGTCAGAGCTGGTAATGTTTCAGTGTTGTATATACTATATACAGTATATGTATATATATACAGTACTGTACTGTATTTATATTTATTCCAGATTGTTTCACTAAAGCTTATGAATGAATATTTTTGTATTTTGCTTTATTTACTTTGTTTTTTTGGGGTCCAAATTAGTCAATAAATTCTTTGTGGTAACCTTGCTAGTTTTGAATTTTAAATGTAAATATTTTTAAGTAGCAGTGTGTACTACTACTTTTATGTTGATCTTGTTTAGTTGATTGCTTGAAATGCATATTTTTTAGACAATGAGAAGATCAGGTAATTTAGTTATGTAATCTGTTGAGCTTGAGTCAAGTGTTGTGGGAGTGTGTCGCATCAATGCTCTTGACAGGAATGTTATGATTTGGTCAGAGGACTGCGAGGGGTTTCAATAATACTTATTAAATATCAAGTTATATTAAGGAGTAACATCATTATGACAAAAATTACTCTAAATGCCACAGTCCTTATTTAAAATAATGGAGATACTTTTAAGCCTTTTGTAAAATATATATTGTTGGTTGGCTATTTTTAGAAGTGCTTATGTTTTCCTGGAATTATTACTTAACATTAATCTGTGGTTAATATAGTTTTAAAGCCAAAATGTCTGTATTTTCTTTCAACAACTCGAATAAATATCTTTATTCTGTACTTCAATAGATGAATACACTTGTTCGCTTAAGAATGAGAGTGATGTTAAAAGGGTGGTAGGAGTGTGGCCATGTATTGATGGTCTCCAGGGAGGCAGACAGGTACACACAACAGTACAGTACAACAACACTGGTAGTGAAGGAGGGGGCACGGAACACACACCACTCTGGGACAATCTGGCCCCTAGTTGCCTTGTATTTATTGTATGATACTATTATAATTGATATTAAATGAACTTTGGCTTGCTCTTATGCTGGTAATGAAGAAAACTGTAAACTTGGGTCTCAGAAATGTTATGCCTGGTTTAAAAAAGCAACAGAGGTACCCTAATGAAGAGGACAAATGGCAGTATTTGTGCAATGAAAAAGTTTAATTTAATTTATTGCTTTTATATTAAATATATTTGGACATGAGCATTTATCATGCAATGCTTCCTCCTTTGAAACAATGGGTAAAGAGTGACTCAATATGTACATGAAAATGACTGACTGGTAAATATTGTGCACTATGAAGAAATTTGTGAAGTGACACTGTTAATGATTCAAAAATGCAGTGAAGTGATGGGGCTGCCCCAGGAGGGTAGGGATGACGAGGACAGCACTAGAACTAGAGTTTCTCAAAGTGGCGGCTCGCACAGAAACCTGATAGTTCCGAGGAGAGCGAGTGAATGCACGAGACATGAGGTCGAGGATCTTCCGTTATGGGCCTGGTATTCTCAGCCAGACATTGGTGGACCTAAAGGATCCCTCATTGCCCCACTTACTGCACCTAATACTCCTACATCCTTTCCACTTGACTCGTCATTTCACGAGGCAATACGACAGCGGCTTTTTAACAGTAGGTGATTTGTTTTCATCTTCAGTGGTTTTGTAAGGCATATGCTTACTTGCCTCTTTGTGCATTTGTGAAAAAGAATTTTATTCTGATGTAAATAATTTGTGAATGATTGTGATTTTTATTGCTGCTGAAAGTTGTTAAAAGCACTGGGGTAATTTCCACTATGCTTAGAATGAGCTACACAAAAATGCATCTTTAATTATAAGCAGTGTTATACTGTACTTTCACTTACAAAGCTAGACTGAAAATTAAAAGATATTTGAATCCAGGATCAAATTTATAATATTAGTTTGCATCTGTAATGTGAAAAAAAGTTACTGCAATAGTATATTCTCTATCCCTGATGGAATGACGGGAGCAAAATGTTTATTTTATTACATTATTACCAATGTTTATCGGTAATTTAGTTCTGAAATAATCGTTTTTTGTCTGGTACTTCAATTCTTCATGTGTAATTTATTTGGTTTTTCTTTTTGTGCAGCAGTAAATGAGCAGTCACATATGAGTGTCATGGCTCGTAATAATAAAACACGCTCAGTGTTGTGGGTTGGCTGTGTGGTGGTAGTGGTGTTTGCTGTTGTGCTAAGATACACTTTGTGTCATATGAGTGACCTACACTAAGGTACTGTAACCTATCACTATAGAGGGCTCAAACCCTGCTCAAGCCTGTGAGAAATGGTGTTGTAGACATTTCTCTAGTTGTATTATCACTTGGATCCTGCATGGTGCACCAAGCTTTTACACACACCCAACGCACAAATCTGAAAATAAAGAATTGATGATATTTTGGTTTGTTCTGGACCATAATCAAGTCTAGGATGGACTGAAACATTGTCAATTCTTGATTTTTGGATTTTTGGGTTAGGTGTCTAATTTTCTGCCATGTTATTGTGACTTATTGTCTATAAGCTTTACAAACTAGGGAAGAATTTGTTAATTTAGCAGCTTTGAATCAAGATATGGAGAAATACAATGATGGAACTGAAGGCATACATAGACATGTACATCCAAATAGTATACAGTATTATGTGCCAGTTTACATTAATAAATATTGTACACCATGTGTTATTTGTGCAAACATGGACAATCATATTAGTTAATCTTAAGGTGGTGCGGATGAATAACTTATGCTTAAGTCTGTTGAATAACTCTTAGAATATCGTGAATCATTATCATTTGAACTGTCTGCAATGCTATTTTACAGCACTACACACACTCGGCTTGGTAGCTTTTGGAAGTGACACTAGTGTGGATCAACATCAGTTTTGAGGAGTATTTTGATCAGGCATAACTAGGTGGTGCAGTTTGCATAGTAGTATTTATTTGCTTATTTTTAAAAGAGGTTTTGAGTTCATAAATAAATAAATAAGAAAAATATCTTTCAGGGGTGAGTTTTGAATGTAATTCTTTTCCCACATACTGTACGTGTCAGTAGTTCCTGGTCTAAAGCCATTTTACTAATCAATTTGCATAATACTGATGCATTTTTACCCTCTGTCTAATGAACAAAGTTTATGTAATGAACCGTCTAGTTTATGCCTGGAGGTAATAGTTGTTGTTGCATCTGTACGTATACACGTGTTAATCTATATTTTGCCTATACACTTAGGCCTAGTCTGACATATTTGGATAAATAACATTTAAGATGTAGGCATCATTTTCATCACAACGGTACTCAAGTTTGTATGTTTATGATTATCGAATGAAAGACCAGAATCACATTGAGAGATCGAGGTCATTACAAAACTGTCTTTTGAAAACATAGAAAATTAGTATTTCTTAGGAAACTCTAATTTATTTGCATAATACATAATGATTCGTGGACCCATCCTCATGGTTTATGCAATGTAATGGAAACCTCAGAAATTTGAAAAGATTTTACTCCTAAAAAAAGACATACAGTACTGTAATATTCTCATATTTTATGACCAGATACTGCTTTAAACATATACAGAATCCAAATTGTTAATACAGTATTACTAACCATATTTATAAAAAATTGCTATTCTTTTGCCTTTTATCATTTCAGTAAATATTATTTGAATTTTTTTTTTTGGCTTTAGAAACTATTTACTGTATTTGAACACCACTGAAACTCGAATTCAGAACATCTCTGGACCAAAGAAAAGTCCCTGCTAGATTGAAAATATGCAAATATCATTCCCATAAAAATTTATTCTGTATTATGGATTTGAAAATACGGCACCTGAAGCTATAATTAGTTCCAACAGTATTTCAATTAATAGGTTCTTCTGAAACCTAGCTAAAAAAAAATTTAATCCCCATCTCAATTCCTAATGGGGCTGTATTTTTAAACAACCTGTATGCTTTAATTATTATATTGCCATCTAGCTAAAACAAATTGTTAGCCAGACATAAGTAGGTGCTAGGACAGTAATCATATTCTTTGTTATGTACGCCTGTAGTTATAATTAATGTAAACAATTATTTTATAGTGAATAAATATATTTTTAATTTTAAAGTGTAATTATTTGTTCATTCCAAAATTTAATCTAAATGATATATTCTCAGGCAGAATTATTATGATTAACAATGAGTAGGTCATAAAAGTTATTTTATTTGTATTAAATCAGTGAATGACCAAGATTTATTTCAGGTAACAAGAAAGACACATTTATCATCCACAGCTGGTGAGGTTCCCATGGCCCCATTATATGTTCAGCCAAGGGTTCACGTAATTCATGGGGTCCAGATAGGATCCACAGTTACTCCTGCTGCATATACCTCTTATGGACATGGTGTGTTGTTTCTCTCTTGCTCTCTTCTCTCTCTCACACATTTGTCATCATGCTTGTCAATGTAGTGGACATGTAAAGCACGTTTTTAGATGTACCCTGGTTGTAGTAATATCCAAATTGATAAATGGGTGTTTAGTTTTAATAATTTGCCCATCTCTCACTGTATGAAAGTTTGATCCAGTGCATTGGCATTGTATGTTGAAGTTAAATGCAACTTTCCTTGAAATACTGTATTTCATTTTTATAACTGCTTTTATTGTGGAACCTTGCTTTAATTGCATTTTTGTGGGGAGCCCCATCTGCTCCCTGAAGCTAACTGAACTGATGTGCACTTTATTAGTTTGGGTTAATCAGTCCCTGGAGTCCTGTGACTGTGGATCATCACCACAAGGCAGAACCTGGACCCCTCAGAGAGGCACAGGGAGCAATGGCCTATGAGCACTTTACATTTAAAGTACAGGATGTCATAATTGCCATTGACTGGGATAGGACCCAGAATGGTAGGCAAATCAAAACAGAACCACTGTCTGGTTAACCTGTGCAATCTTTATCCAAAAAGATAAAAATAATTCCCCTACAAAGAAACCAAACATGCAATTCTTCATGCAACTAACACTTCCGCTCGATAGCGCTCCTGCGGGGTGGGGGATGGGGGGGGGGAGCCGGCAGCCTTCCACTCACACTTGAACGTATGTGCTGGCAGTCAGTTCGGTCACCTCTGCCCTCAAGTTCCTGTTCTGGATTTTCCCCCCATGAGGCCATACCAGCAGTGTGTGGGTGTTGGCCAGGTGTCTTATTGTATGAGGAGTAGCATGCACCTAGGGTGATCTTCCCTAGGGGCTCCATAAGTTCTGCCCTGGGGAACTCTTGTTTCTGTCTCTTTTTCCCGATCCAGTTATTGCTCCAGGTCCTAGCTCACTTGTAATCCTATTGGGAGAGGGTTCTTTTGGCTCCATGGTGTCCAGCCCAGCCTTGGTTTCAGGTACTACTTGCTCGGTGTGTGAACCCGAGCATTTCAGTTCCGCCCCTTTAGCAGATTGGGCCAGTGAGGTACTGTATCTCGCTGGTTCGCCTTACTGCTCCGCACTACGTATCTGGTCTTTTTCTTGTTGTGTATTGCCATCTATGTGGTGATCAGGTTGCTTCTTTGGAACAGCCTACCAGGACTGTTCTTTCAACCCTGGTAGGTTGTTTCTTTGCAGTCTTCTCCTCTTCTGGTGAAAAAATGAGGTTGTTGGTTTCTGCAGGGGTACCTCGGTAACTGATTTGTCTGAGCATGGGTGCATCATTTGTGTCCAGTTGTGGCTGCTCATCGCTATGTACTCTGCTTCAATGGACGTGATATTTGTCGATCTGTTTCCTTAGTACTCATTTTCAAAGGCACAGTTACCCCAGATAATCTAGTGTCATTAAAGCTAGCTAGTCTGTATTCTACCCTTGGGCCAACGATGTTCTTAAGTTTGTGGCTTTAGCAACTGTTTTCACCAACTGAATACTGAAGTATTGGGATTATATTCAGGCTTGGTGACTTTTGAAGTTGAACAGTCTTTTGTTGGCTCAGTATGTGGTCAGTATTCCTGATCCCAATCCGGCTTGTTGCTCTGGGCCGAGTATCCCAACCCAGTGTCTGATCTTGGACTTTGTAGTTATCACGTCTCCTCCCTGGCGAGTCCCATGTTTTCCTTTTTTTCTGTTATTTGATAGTACAGGGAGCCACAAGGCGCTCTTCCAGAAAACCAGCATTGAATGTAATAAAGCGTCTCTCTCTGGTAGAACCCAGTATCTCCCTAACTCTCCCTCTCCCCCTACTAGGTATGTTGGTTTGTGGTTTATTGGCTCTGAACTGACTCGTTGCTGGCCCACAAGCTGGAGGTTTGAAATATCATCTGTTGGAAGCTTTTGCACACTAGGGGATTCGAACTCAGCTTTGAGAGAATCATTTGCAGAATCTGTTGGCAATTTCTGTGCTTCATTTTTGTGAATCATGCCGTTATCTGTGTTGCTTTCCCTGTTTTTTGGATGCTTTCACAATGTGATTATAACAATCCCCAGCTCTCTCTGCCACTATGAGGGTTGCCAAGTTCTGGCTCTGGACCACAGTAGGCCAACATAACTTCTATGACTGATGTGACTCAGCAGTGGGAGGTTTTCTAGGTTTCAGGGAGCCACTGGGGGCTCTACCAGAAATAGGCATTTTATTACATTCGATTGTGTTTTTCTTACAAACTATTGCATTTTACTAGTTGTATCAACATCTTTTATGTTATAATATCTGATTTCCCTTATATCTAATTTTATCCCTTAAAATACCACTATTAGTTTTAAAGCATTTCAATTTCCCCATTAAGTTTAATGTTGGACCCATTGTCAGCCAAGTAACCACTTATGGCATCAGTGTGACTACGGGAGCCTGTCGGCCGAGCGGACAGCACGCTGGACTTGTGATCCTGTGGTCCCGGGTTCGATCCCGGGTGCTGACGAGAAACAATGGGCAGAGTTTCTTTGACCCTATGCCCCTGTTACCTAGCAGTAAAATAGGTACCTGGGTGTTAGTCAGCTGTCACGGGCTGCTTCCTGGGGGTGGAGGCCTAGTCGAGGATTGTGCCACGGGGACACTAAAGCCCCGAAATCATCTCGAGATAACCCTGCAAAATTGCTGCACTCTTAAAAACTTTCTATTCATCTCACATTCTCATTTGTTTATATTTAATCCTTATTTATCTTTTCTTACAGTGAATTATTTTTATTGTTTACAGTTTTCTCATCAGTCCTGGTCAGCCATTCACCTGTGTAGGCCAATCGTCTAAGTGTGTTGTTCATTTCCTGTGGTTTGCATAATTTTGATACAGGTATTTCAAAATATAAAAATATAAATTTAATAAAAAATAAAACAATTATAAATTATTATTTAAAAAATAAAAATAAACCTTGGATTGGTTTTCTTCCTTCTGCCACATTTAATATATTGGCACGCAATAACCCCATCAAGCGAGAGTCCCGATATTCTCATGACAGTGTGCCACATACTCAAATGTATTCAGTAAGAAAACAGAAGAAAATTACATTTTTAAGAAATGGTAATTTTTTTCAAATGCCTTACAGTAGTTGATATTGCATACATTAATATATCCTTATGAAATTATTACTGGGACTTTGCAAGATTTTCTTGTATTTACTAGGAAAGTAATTGTCCCTTGTAAACCTTTGCCGAAGTTTCCATTTATCATTTATTTTTTTTTTTTATTTTTTTTACAGAAGTATTTCAGTTCTGTATTGTTCTGAATATTCATTCTTAGTAGCTAAGTGTGAAGCAGTTGAATAGTCCTGAGATTCTAACTGTATTAAAGATTTAAGTAAACAATACTTTAATCCATATCATTGAGAAATGTGTTTATTGCTTCATACATGAAGCATTAACATTGTGGGACCACAATCCTGTTAAGATTTTTGTTAATCTCACATTTAATACATTTTTATCCTGCTGGACAGCAAAATTTCTGCATGATACAGACGTGCATGGTGTTGATTAATGCTTTCCAGGTGCATCATTTTCACCGTTGTTGATCTGCACATGTGGCTCGCACTATTTATATTTGGGTTGAATAAGATGATTATTTACAAGACATTGGCATCAAGAACTGTGTCATTTGGAAAAAGTACAAATTATAGTGTTTAAAATGTTTTTTTTTCTGGCAGCTAAAATGAATGCTTTAGGATAAAAGAACTATGATTGGCTATGTGACAAGAATGGTGCACATCAGCATAATATAACTTAGTGTTATTATTCTTTGAGCAACATGTAATTTAAACAAGTTATATGCATTACTGTGTTAAATTCAAGGCAACAGGTGCATGGGAAATATTCCCTACAACTCATCTTGGTGTTTAAACTCTGGTATTGCAAGTTGTTTGCAGGAAAGTGTTCTTAACTGATTCATCACATCAAAAGTTTGTGTTAAAAATACGCATAAGAGGTGATAGAAGCAAGTAATAAGAATAAAAGCCAACTTACAGCCAAAGATAATGTTCAATATTATTTTGAATTTCCAGCTTATAAAATTTATGCTTTAAAACTGGAAGACGTGAAGGCATGTATATTTAAGGCAGTTCAGTATTACCAACTCCCCAAAATTATGTGTACTTTGGCTTTCAGAGTACAGTAAAGCAAAGTGTTTGCCAATTATCTCATTTGCAAGTTGCCCAGCCACTTGGGCTGGACGGTAGAGTGACGGTCTCGCTTCATGCAGATTGGCGTTCAATCCCTGACCGTCCAAGTGGTTGGGCACCATTCCTTCCCCTCCGTCCCATCCCAAATCCTTATCCTGATCTCTTGCCGATGCCATAGTCATATTGGCTTGGTATTTTCTCCTGATAGTTCCCCCTTCCTTTGCAAGTTTATTAAGTGCTTCAAACTGTACTAAAGATTTTGACCTAATTTCTACTTGTAAACATTGCCAGTATCATAGCCTTATGTTAATACTTTTATGTTAATACCAAACTGCTAGGAAAGCCATGATCATTGTTTCTTAAAAGTTTATAAAGCAAATGCAGTTCTGTAGTTTAATTACTAGAATATGTTGAGCACTATTTTATTGTTAATTAAAGAATACCTCTTATGTTTTCATTTGGATCATTGGGTACAAGCACCTCAAGACTTCCTCAATTTGATTCAGTGTATTGCAGGGTTGTAGGGTTGAGTTCAATGTGTTACTTACCTAGTGGGCATCTATTAATGACCAGAGTTAAGTACTCTAAGCCCTTGGGCTAAAGGGGTTTTCCTTCATAAATTACTCCCAACACAGAAATTTATATATTTAAATACAAAATTAATAAATACAGAAATTTATATGTAGGTAAGTAATAATAATAAATCCTGTACAAATATAGGAAAGCAGGTAGTGAAAGTCTACTTACCCAAGTCTAGTTTGGCTATTTTTCCCCTTGTTCTCAAGAATACAAATTGTTAATGTTCATTCATTTTCCACAGCCGGTGCCCCAACTGCTGTTGTGACAACAGTGGTTCCTTTAGGATCTCAGTCAACTCATATGATATGTCCACACTGTCATGCAGAAGTTGACACTGCTACTAAGACCTCCCCATCCATGGTGGCTTGGTTATCGGGCTTTATCATCTGCATTCTTGGGTAAGTAATAGCAAGCTGCATTATATCAGTACAGTATATGGTCCTAGTAGTATCTCATTTTTATTTGACTGTCAGTATTAATACCTATTTGTAGTTTACAACTCTCTGCTCAAGCTTATGGTCCACCTTTGCTAATTTATTGTATATACTGTACTTTAGAAATTGTGCATGTGTGTTTAATGGCATGTGCAAATTTTAAGAAGCGGGATTTTCTGGGGGGAGCCCCGTCGGCTCTCTGAAGCTTTCCGAACTGGTGTGTGCTTTATTAGTTTGGGGTCATTGAGGTACCTCTGTACCTCAAGGTACAGTCCTTGCACCACTGCTGTTCCTTATTCTCATATCTGATATAGATAAAAATACAAGTCACAGCTTCGTGTCATCCTTTGTAGACGATACAAAAATCAGCATGAAAATTACCTCTGCTGAAGACATTGAAAAACTACAAACAGACATTAACAAAGTTTTTGATTGGGCAGCAGAAAATAACATGATGTTTAACAGTGATAAATTCCAGGTACTCAGATACGGCAAAAATGAGGATCTGAAACATAATACAGGGTACAAAACACAATCGAATCTGCCCATAGTAGGAAAACAACATGTCAAGGATTTGGGAATAATGTCTGACGACCTAACGTTTAGGGAGCATAACCAAGCAAGTATTGCGTCAGCCAGAAAAATGATAGGATGGATTACGAGAACCTTCAAGTCCAGAGATCCCATCACAATGGTTGTACTCTTCAAATCGCTTCTGTTGTCCCGTCTTGAGTACTGCTCAGTACTCACTTCCCCCTTCAGAGCAGGAGAGAGTGCTGAAATAGAGGGAATACAGAGAACATATACGGCATGCATAGACGAGATAAAGCACCTAAATTATTGGGATCGTCTCAAAGCTCTCCAAATGTACTCACTAGAAAGGAGATGAGAGAGATACCAAATAATATACACATGGAAAATACTGGAGGGACAGGTCCCAAATCTGCACAGTAAAATAACAACGTACTGGAGTGAACGATATGGAAGAAAATGCAGAATAGAACCAGTGAAGAGCAGGGGTGCCATAGGCGCAATCAGAGAACACTGTATAAACATCAGAGGTCTGCAGTTGTTCAATGTCCTACCAGCGAGCATCAGAAATATTGCCAGAACAACTGTGGACATCTTTAAGAGAAAACTAGATTGTTTTCTTCAAGGAGTGCTGGACCAAGCGGGCTGTGATAGGTATGTAGGCCTGCAGGCTGCTCCAAGCAACAGCCTGGTGGACCAAGCTCTCACAAGTCATGCCTGGCCTCGGTCCGGGCTTGGGGAGTAAAAGAACTCCCATAACCCCATCAAGCAGGTGGGTTGCCCCTTCCGATTCGGGCGCGGAGGTCAGCGATTGTTTTCGGATGGTTATTTTTGTTGGCTTTGGCTTCTGGGGCTTGGGTTGTGGAGCTTCATGCTCTCCTCCGACACCAGGGATTTTGTTCTTTTGGTCCTGGGGGTCATTTTGTTTGTTTGCAGCATTCTTCTTTTCTGGGACAGGATGACACGGCGAGATTCTGAAGGTCCAGCTGTGGTGGATATTTGGTTGGTTAGGCCCGAGGTGCATCATGTGCCGTGTCTGGTGGCAGCGTTACGCTGCTACCTGCAAGCCACTGATTCTGTGCTGGTGGATCCAGTTTCCCTGGTTCCTTGTTCCAGGGCTCTCGTGTCCCAGGTTGTCTGCAGTGTCATAAAATCCAGCCAGCCTGCAGTCTACTCTCGTGCCCATGACATGCAGAAGTGGCACAGGGGTTTTGTAGGTTGCACAGGGTCCTGGCCGCCAGATATCTAGTGACCGTTTCGGTCTTGTCGCCGGGCATCTGTCAGTCCCTTCTTCACATTGAGTCCTGCGGTGTCGCTGCCTCCCGGGTAAGTCTCTGTTTTCCTTCTCTGTGGTTAGTTAGCTTCAGGGAGCTGAAGGGGTTCCCACCCGAAAACCAGCGTGATGAAACACTCTTATCTGGAGGTAGCCCCAGAGGTTTGCGTGCAGTTGCTAGTTTCTCTTCATTAATTTTGTTTCTGGAGGAATTATTTGCTCTTTTGGGCTGAAGGGGACAATTTTACTGGCTAGTTGTTTGTTTTGGTTCGCCTATCTTTCTGGGCTACTGCCCTGGTCGATGGGAGAATATGACATCCTTAACATGTAAAGTGCTCATACACCATTGACCCCTGCACCTCTCTGAGGGAGCCAGGTTCTGGCTTGTGGTCCTCGGTAGGCTTAGAACTCCAAGTGACTGATGACCTCAAACTAATAAAGCAGATATCAGTTCGGATATCTTCAGGGAGGCTCTGGGGCTACCCACAGAAAAGGGCATTTCATTACATTGAATGCAGTTTTTTTAAACATATATTATTTTATTACAACAGGTGCTGGATGGGCTGTTGCCTGATTCCCTGCTGTATTAATGACTGCATGAATGTGGAACACAATTGTCCTAACTGTCAAGCCTTTCTGGGCAAGTACAAGCGAGGATAGAAAGAGAATGACAGCCGACCTTCCTACCCCCTTCATTGTTCGTCTTATAAATGGTGGCTATTACTTTAGGTGTGGATAGCATACATGGCTGAATGATACACATGCACGCTACTGGATACCTCAGAAACATGATGGTTTCTAACACCTTTATGCCATTCAGTGAAGCTTGATTTTAACAAGTTCTTGTAAAAATAAAGTTAGAGGTGTGATGAAATATGATAAACATAATTCATCAGCCATGTCCTGATAATGTGGTAATTAAAAGTTTATGAAACCGAGAGAAATGTAACTTAGATGTAATTAAGACAGAAAATGGAGGTACTGTACTGATACAGAATAAAAATAACTTTGACTTGTGTTTAAGAGACCAAATGAGCGGGAAAGTGCACTAGAAATTACTCTTAGGATTTTCCATTTGCAAACTTTTGTCTTAGGATCATGAGAAATTGTATTTAAGTAATATAAAAATAATGTTTAAGACATTAGATAATTATTTTAATGATGCAAGAATACTGGTAGAAAGTCTTAACCAAATTATGTAAAGCAGCAGTCTTGTTGGAACAAATATAGCTGCTGCTGCCTCAGCCGCTAGAACCTCCATATATATTTTTATATTTTCTAGATCTAGAGAAATCTCAGCTTTATATAATGAAAAGTCAATCAAGAACATAAAACATTTGGTCTGTTGCCAATTGTATTTGATATTACTTAAAAATTAAGTACTGTGTGGTATTAATGTTTAACCATAATACCTCTACAGTGAATATGAAAACAATATTTATTAGTTTATTATCCATCCACATTTACTACTTTTAAGAACCATGGCAATTCAACATTGAAGATAAGTAGAGTAGAATTTCAGATTCCTAGTGACCTTTTAGACTTAATCAACAGGGGTTTTCACTTTATTTTACCGTACAGTATCGGGTAATACAGTAATAATGGTTGAAAGGTTTCACAGAATAGGGACTAGTTCTGGAATATTGTGAAACTGTATTAATGAGTAAACTCATTCTGCATTTCAATCCATTCAGTCAGATTTTTTAAGATACTACAGTATATTACTATCCATGTTCAGTACAGGTGGCCCAGATTTGTGCAGTGCAGCATTGGAGTATGCAAACTTCAGTTGCACAGATAAGCCCTTTTATATCAAGATTCAAGCTGCATCTGTGAATTTTAGTTATGCAAACTGAAAACAAATTAACAATCTGCAATAATCATTAGGTTTACCACATGCTTAACAGTACATTATATTAGGCCCTGACCCCTTACTTTCCTTGTGTTCTACAAACATTTAGGTATATATTTAATATTTATGCATCATTGTGCATTCCAAGAATTCTAGACTATTAAGTGCTGAATTTGTCTGGAAAGGGCATGGAGCATTAAATATTAATGTTAAAGAGAAACTTACTATGATGCCATAGTGCTTGAATGAAGGGGAAGGAAAGGCCCTATATGTAAATATATTAAAAACTAATTTTTTATGTATCCTACATCCTGTCTCAAGGTGATGTATACAGAATACAATTGTATATTATATACAGTACCTTGAGAAAGGATGTAGGTTACATCCAAAAATTGTTTTTAATATTGGGTCTTTCCTTCACCTTCAATAATGTTGAAATAGACATTTTGAAGGGTAGTGGAAGAAAGTGGATTTCTGGAGGTTCCAGGAACCTAAACTTCTTTTTCACAAATACATTTGTTTGATTTGCATGGTTATTAAAAGATCATACTACTGTACCTTACAAATTAAGTCCCACCTGCAAATAATAAACTTTCATTTATTACCAGATAATTTACTGTAATTCATCAATAATGAGTCGGTGGAGTTTCAAAATGTGATGTCTTTAAATCAACAAGGTTCTATTTCAGGTTCTTCAGATTAATTGGAACTTGAGAATTCAACCTAGAGCTATTTTGAGCTCATTTGCTTTGAATGGGCACTTCTTACCATTTAAATGTCTTGAACATTATACTAGTCATTTATTATGAAGATTTATTATTAATTTACCAAGAGCATCAGTTGATAGAATCATGCAGAATTTTTTTTTGTACAGTAGATGATGGTTTGCCTGTAGGATTTTATATCGGATCAAACATACTGCTTATAAGGGTAAAAAATGGAGAAGAGGTAAGGTCAGTGAAGGTGGGTTGAAATCAGCAGTGAGGGGTGCATGGTGTAAGTAATTATATATTAGTATATACAGCACTGTATTCATATAGCAAGACTGGTAGCAATGTTGAATTTTTTCATTCTATTCAATGAGGGACATTGTGTTTGAAGGCTGCATACTCTGTACACTGTCTTCTGATATTTTGAACTATACCGTAATGATAAATTTGACAACCTTTAAGTTCATAAGGTGTTTATCTCAGCAATTTTGTGTTTCATAGGCATGGTTGAAGTGATATGGCAGAAATGTCTGTTTATAGTCCCATTAATTAAGAGCTAAAGTCACAGGAATGTGGATGAAAATAAATAACCAAACCCCCACACATGAAATGAGAGGGTTACAAGGGTTTTGGTCCAGCCTGGACTCTCCTCAGGTGAAACTGAAACATACAGGGAAAGGAAGCCATTATAACGGTGTAGATGAAGCAAGGTATAAGTTTGTTTACTTCTAAGGAGTTGCAATTGGCTCCATTTTTCATGGTTTACTTTTTCCCACTCACACCTATCACCATCATCTTAAAATGGTTTTCCTTTTACTGTATGTCTCAGTTTTGACTATGAGAGTCCAGGATGGCCCAAAATATCACTTTTATTTCATGAGAGTGGGTTGGATTATCCCTATTAGGGTTTTGGAATGTTTCACCTACATACACTGTCAAAACTATTAAAGGGGTACAGTATATACCCCTTTGTGTTGACCTTGCAGTGTTTCTGACACAGGTTTTCATTATAGATGTCTTGTGCGGTATACTATTAAAATAAGTTCTGGATGTTCTGTAGCACACACTAGTCTGGATTGAACATGTTCATTATCATTCTACAACTAGGGCAGACAATGTTCTTTACCAACCTGTGCCTCATTGACCTTGTGCTTCTCCAGCATTTTCCCCTTTATAAGCACTAGCCATGTGTATCTTGTTATAATTTGATAAGGGCCTTACAACAAAAGCACCATCTACAAAAATCTCTAAAGTTTCGTTTTTCTCAATATTGCTGCCAGCACTGTACTATCAAATTTCAGGTATGCTATTGGAAGGAGCACCAAAATTGTTAGGATATCTGAAATAATTACTGAAATCTATGGTGTCCCCCCCCCCCTTTCCCTCCCTCCAATTTGATTGTTCTAACAAAATATTTACTTTTAAGTACTATATTGCTTTTATTTTATTATAGTTGAGATTTTTTGCCAATCCAGTTTTTATATCAATTATCAAATCTCGAAATGACTTTCGATTTTATCCTAACTTGATATTCTTTGTGATCTTATTTCCGTTGTAGATTAGGAAGTTAAGAGGTTGTCTCTCATTATTCTTCCATGTGAAAAGTGCCTTGTTGATTAGTTCAGAAATGGATAGAATGTGTTGGTATACCAAGACAAGTGAGGTCACTTCTACCAGGTATTACAGGGCCAGTGTACTAATTCATCATACAAACTTCCTGTCAAGCTTGGGTAAAGTAATAAGCAACTAGTGTGCTAACCCTGTGTAGTTACGAAGGCAGCTGTCATACTTCACCAGAGAAGCAGGGTTAGTGGGTCATTCCTCACAACCTTTACTTGCCTTTATCCTTGATTGTATTTGAACATAATACAGTAAATAATAAATAATCAAAGATTTGTATACTTCAAAATTATAGAACATGTGTTCAAGAATTAAATGGGCAGCCAGACATTTTAGAAAATCTATTGTCCTGCTTTTAGCTGTAACATTCTTTGTTATATCCTCATGAATTGTTTTTGTGCATTATTACACTACAGTAATTTTTTTAATAAGCAATTCCATACCACTATATCCTGGCACATTTTGCAAGTACACTGTATCAGATCATATGGGAAGAAAACATTGAGGTTTGTCATATCATTTGAACAACTTGGCATTCATCTCACATTATCAATTCACCCACTTTTTTTATGGACTATCTTGCACGTTTTAAATTTGTCATTAACACTGCTCAAGTTAATACTAGAGCACTCTGGCCTTTCACAACATATACAGACCAAAATAGTCCAGCCTATCAAGGTGTAGCTTCCCCCCCTCCCCTTGAGTTGTTGCCATAAATGTGCACACATGATTGGTGTATATATTGTAGATAAAATGAATACAAACAATACTTGCAAGCTTTCTGTTCTGGAAATTTGAAGTTCCCCGTTTTGAATTTTTTTTGCCTTCATAAAGATATGATTTGTCATACATAAGTACTTTTATATATGCAGTATGTGTGCACACATGATTTCTCTTCGCCGATGAAAAAATGCCTGAAAATTAAATCTAGTTTCAGTGATTATAAGACAGAACAAAAGCACTCGGTGAAAGGTCCTGCCATCTGTAAATGTTTAAATTTAATTTTATGATGTAAGTTTTATTGATGCTACAAAAGTTTTTTCTTTCATTTAAAAAAAAAATTAATTACTGTACTTTCCAAATTATGCATATCTTGCACCCAAATCTTAGCGTTACTGGGAGGTTGCTCCTGTACACTGTACAACAAAAATGTCCAGATAATCTTGTACAAGGTAAAATATGACAAATATTTGAACATTGTACTTACCAGTTTATTTAAGTGCAGAACATCTTTATACCATCTTACACTATAGATGTAGAAACCGAAGATCTACGTAACTTTGATCCAAGTACTCGAGCTTTTCTTGGAAGAATGAGAGCTTGTCAGCCCTACAGCATGCTCTCGCACTTATACTCTTGACATTGTTAATTTTTGGCTTTTCCAAATCATTGACCTTATGTGCACCATAATACGAGCACAAAATGTTGTGTTTGTCAAGAAACACACAGGAACAAAAAAAATAGTCGAGTCGGTTTGTCGTGAATTCGTGGTCATCCGAAATGATCTCTGGGTGGCCCACCCTTGTAACCAACATGGCAGCCGTAAGTTCCACTATCCTGTACTGTCCTCACATCTCGGGTGTGTCATGTAAATGAAAATAGAATGATTAAGAAAATGTAATTCACAGATTTAGAGATCAGATGTGTTTTAGCATCAGACCAAAATGTTTCTTTCACCCTGTTGCCCCTGTTACCTAGTAGTAAATAGGTACCTGGGAGTTAGACAGCTGCTACGGGCTGCTTCTTGGGGGTGGAGGCCTGGTTGAGGACCGGGCCGCGGGGACACTAAGCCCCAAAATCACCTCAAGATAACCTCAAGATGATGCCCCAAAATGCATCATTGGGCTACCTACCTACTGGTAGGTAGCTGGGCTGCTATAGTGTTAATATGAATTCACAATTTTGTGTGGTGTTATTCAAAATATTTAGTAATAATGTACTGTACAGCAATACATTACTGTATAAAATATTGGAACCAGCATACACAAGATGCTAAAAAAAAAAAAAAAAGTTGCACACCAGACACTGGTGCTGTGTTATTTTATGTGCCTTATTTGGAACTGAAGGAAACTAGTATTGATCCTGAATACATTTGTCAGTTCTGTTCCACTTTGTGATAAACCTATTCATGGTCCCATATTAGCATATTCCTTGTTAGAGATTGCCATATTATTGATGGGAAATTTGCTGTGAATATAAAGAAACATGGCCAAATATACTAGTAAATTATAAATTATAACAGGAAGTACCATAATCAAATCTCAAACATTTTCTAAATTTATAATTAGTATTTAATCATAAGGAGTACTTCACAAGATATATCATCTTACAGCAATTTAACCCTTAAATATATATTTCCCACCTGACCTGACCATGAAAAATACCATACAAATAATATTTTAACAAAATTGAGGCTCTATGCAGAAAGGTATCAAGTGCAGTTGGGTCACAGCCGAAAGATCCCAGGTTCAATTCTTGCCAGATAAAAGCGGTCTGGCAGTGATTACTTTTATTAAATAGGCACCTACAGGGCCAGATTACCCGATAGACCAAGTAGGCTATGGCCTAGGGCTCACCAGTACTTTGTCCATTTTATGGTACAAAAAAATAACTAATTACTTGCTGACGAGTAATTAATTACTCAAATCAATTGATTCCCGAGTAATGAATTACTTGCCAACACTGCCCGATTATTTTTTGTGTAATTCATGTACTGTATTATAAACATTTTTGTATGGGTTTATAATGTTTCGCACAACTGAGAGGCAGCAGAATACAGCGATTACTTTTTATTTTATTTGTTACTCATTCAAAAGGCATTCTACATATACACAGGTAAAAAAAGTATGAGTTCGAGACCCATACAGCCCAGGTGAATGGAAGGTATATACACACAAGTGATTGTTTACTGTTGTCAGGAATTTATAGCTTCAAGAATCATTACAGCTCTCTGGACAAGAGCTGTTAGGTCAGGAATATAAAAATGACTATACAGTACCTTTATCAAATAGAGTATCCTGACATGTAAACGGCAAGAAGCCAGTGTCCTCAATTGAAGCAACACATTAAGACTGAAATGTTCATTATCTTTGTTACTTTATAAATGTTCTGCTCTTGCTTCACATTTTCATTTTTGTATCATTACCATCTCATCATGCATGAGAATTTAAAATCTGGGAATAAAATTTTAACTAACTAAAGATTACAAATAATTTTGTACTGATTTAACTGTAGACTGAGTAACTAAGATTGTGACAGGTTACCTATTATCATTTATCACTTAACCTTTATCTAAAAGGGTCTTTTCTTATTGTATTTAAAAGTGGGGTGTTTTTTACTGACATCACTCATCCGGAATGTGTTCTGAATGTGTTGCCGCTGTAACGCTACGGGTGATGCATTAAAAACATACTGCACATGCATTGCAATTTATTAATTAAGAGCTCATGTTGCACTGTATTAGGTTTAGTTGGACTATTTTTTTTAAGTGAACATTTAACAAATAATTGGCCTATTAACAAATTTCTATGCATACATGTTGCCATCCATTTTATGTTTATTACAACTTTAATAGCTCAATAAAGATATACAAAAAACTGCAAATAAGTGTTTCTTATCCCTTGTAGTAGCTCACCTTGCAATTACTTCGCCAAAATGGATATGCATTACTGTATAAGCATTCGACTTCAGTAGGCACTTGGGAACACTTTTTGGTTTCTAAACATAAAAGTAATTATTATATACCACGTCATGGGTTCCAAGAAAGTCGGTGGTAAGGTTCAACCTAAGAAAACACATGTAAAGATGACCATAGAAGAAAAACAAGTCTATGGAAAGGTTCTTAGTGAGAAACAAGCAGTGAGCCACAACCAGGTCCTAGTGGTATGCAGGCAAAACATTGGAGAGAGAGAGTACCCCAGAGAAGTCATCACTGCCTGATGTTATAATGGAAGGGAGGGGGGCTCCCTTTCCAAACACTAACACCTCTCTTTTTCCCTTCCCTCCCTCACCGTCTTCCATACACCAACAAGAGTCATCAATAAAGGTAAGCTATAACTTGCAGACACTATAGGACAAAATATTTGTGTGTACTGTATTATGTATGAAATGTATTTTGAAGTTAATAATTCAATTTACATTATTTATTATGGGAAAATTTGTTTTGGTTTGGAAATTTTCGATTTACGAGCTGTCTCTGGGAACGGATTAATTTTGAAAACCATATTTTTTATATATTATATATATAATATAATATTATATATATATATATATATATATATATATATATATATATATATATATATATATATATCGTACCTATACTATATATTGCCTAATAGTTTTCCTATATATATTTTTTCTTATGAAATATACCCTTTTATAGGTCAATTTATGTTATTGGAGTTAAAATACGTAGATTTTAACCTAACCTACCTATATTTATAGGTAAGGTTAGGTTAGGTAGCCAAAAAAGCTAGTTAGGTTAGGTTAGGTAGGTTAGGTAGACGAAAAAAACATTAATTCATGAAAACTTGGCTTATATATATATATATATATGGCTATTATATATATATATATATATATATATATATATATATATATATATATATATACACATACATACACTGGATTTTTTTTTTTTTTCAGTAATATTATTCTAGTGTGTCTTTGGAGATCTATATACTGTAATAAAATGTGAGGAATACCAGAATGCTCAAATATATTCGTGTCACTAAGATGCACAATATATTATTTGCTTAGAACAATAAAACATAGTTTTTGCCGTTATACACAAAGTGTGTGTACAGTGTAATGACTAAATATTTTCATGCACGATTACGAACCACTAAGCCATTTTGGTGGGTGTGGTAATCTCATAATATGCGGTCAGAGTTCAGCTTGGCTCTGCAGGTTTTGCATGAAATTGTAACTGCACACATTGAATATGTAATATTTTCTGTGTACAGTATTTCTAATGTTTTGCCATTTTTTTCAAGTGCAATAATACAATGGGCTGTTAATAATGTTATTTTGTATCTCAGAACATGTACATCATAGGTACACACATACATTCATGTCATTACATTATTTGCTTAGAATAATAAAACATTCAGGTTTTGCTGTTATTACACTGTACACAATTGTTGTTAGATTTTTCTGTTTACAGGCAACCTGAGGAAGCAAATGTGAACCCAATGTACGCATGTGACTTTTAGATCTTATGCGGTATTCTAAGTCATCCCTGTATGACTTGCGCAACAGAAGGGTTTAAGGAAAGGGCCATCTCAATCTTTATTAATAATTATTTTTTTAGATAAAGCTTAAAATATATTTAAAATTAGACTCTTGGGATATGAAAAACAAATGTGTAAAATTTAAATGTTTAGTTTTTAAAGCTTCAATAGTGCAAAAATTATCTTCCAGTTTCTTCAAAATCATTTGAAGAAACGTAAAGAATCTTTCATCTTTGGCTTGCCCACTTCAACACCCAGGACGGCTTAAAACTGTTCTTATGAAACGATAGGTTACAGAAGAACAGATTTATAATAACCAAATATGAAATAAATGTTGCTAAATATTTTTCAACAAATATTATATTTAGATAACAAATATACAACTATAAAATACAGAAATATACAAGTATGAGATACAGAAATACCTTCATTGTCTCCACCAGAAGTTAAAACAATTTCTGAAACCATTTTTAACAGAGAAGTGGTAAGGAAGCTGCCGTCTCCTGTACTCTCTCAACTTTACCCCACTCATCACACAAACTAGTTGTTGAATCAAGGCCACAGCTACAAATATTGCCAGAAGTATACCATAGCAGGCAGCTGAGATTGACAAACTGGATCTGAAATGATAGAGAGCTTTCATCATAACCATTAAAACTATACTGCTGTAAACCTTGTTAAATATCTGGGACTGCAGATATGATTATATATATATCAGGTACTACAGGTGTATGTGTAGGTAATTTCCTATGTGTAGTTATAGGATGAGAGCTACACTCTGGTGTCCTATCTACCTGGTGATCTCATATTACACTTTCAAACTACAGGACTGATGTTTTAGCATCCGCTGCCTGCGCACTTGTTCCAATCGTCTACCACTGTTTGCAAAAAGAAAGGTTTCTAGTGTTTTTCACCACCTTTGTTTCCTTAGCTTAAATCTGTGACCTCTTGTTCTTGAAGAGGCAGGTTTCAAGAATTCCTTGGTCAGCTTTGTCTATTTCTGGTACTATTTTGCATGTAGTGATCATATTGCCACTTTTATTCCTTCTATCTTCTAGCTTGGTTATATTTAATGCCTCTAGTCTTTATCAAGCTCCTCCATTATCAACATTTAAACCCCTCGTTTAAATGTTGCATTCATCTATGATCATTAAAAACGTGATAGGAGCCACATTAAAAAGCTACCATTCATACTCAATATTTCCCAGTGTATGGGCTAATTTCACAGAATCAAATTTTAATTTCAACATATCATATGATGGAGAACTTTCCCACAGATCTGTGAACCATGCTTCCTAAGCAAATCTGCAAATGTAAATTTGAAAAGTAAATCCAGTCTGGAAATTGCGCTGCAACCAGCAATTTGTCAAAACGAGTTATGCTGAAATGAAGCTGCATCATTCTTCTGTATTCATTTCTACAATACAACTCAAAACAGATATACAAATGATCTTATTATGTGAAACAATTACCACCACTTTCAAACACATTTGTGGAAAAGAAAATAAATTATTGAAAACCTTTGTTACAGCTGGCGGCTCAAATCCATAAAAACTGGCAGCTATATTTATTTTATGACTTACAAAAGCTGTTTATAGTTAAAATTACATTTCAGTTCCCAAAGAGTAGAGTGATAAGGTAGATGAGGGAAGCAGAGTGCATATGCAATACAGCAGTAGTTGCTAATGGAGCATACAAGTGAAGCTAGGCATGTGAAGATAATAAGAGGAGAAGATTATTGACAACAAGATGGAAAGGTGGTCATGGAATGCTGAACATGGGATAAATTTATTATGAATCAAGGTAAAAATAGAAATATCTTAAGGAGAGACTTGGCTAATTTATGAAATAATGTAAAAGCGGCAATATTTAAATTTGCTTTAACATTTTCTTAATAGTAATCTTGTGTTATATTGCAAGAAAGCATAATTAGGGGGACTAAAGGGATGTACAGTAAGTTCAGTCTCATTCTATGACCTAATATTTTCTCTAATAATTAGTGTGTTTACTCATCTCCAACAGATGCACAATATCTATAACCAGAGCAACTGCAATCTGGCTCCTGAAGAAACATTTTACTTAGTTATTTTAGATATACAGGGCCCTGTACTACTATGTACAGTGACAAAAATAGTCAAAACTGCATAGCAATGGTGAGAAAAATTCTGTCAAAACTAACAAAAAGTTGAAAAAAAAGGAGTAAATATTATAGATTGGAAATGGAAGAAGGGGAACACTATGAATTTGAGCTCTGTCCTGTAAATCACAAATAGGTAATCAAATCCTATTATGAATTGCCAATACAACTTACTGAAGATTTATGAATGCATCAGGACAATGGCTTGGTATGAGGAGTGTGGTTAAGTAGAGATCGATGAGCCGTGGATGACAAACAGTAGTAAGACTCAAGTGGACACCGTAGCACAAGGCACACAAGCCAAAGCTCAGTCCAGTTACAAACCAACGATCATTCACACAGCTAACACAAGTATCTAACCTGAAACAAACCAGATGATACTGTAATAAGAATAGTATTACAAATGGTATGCATTCAATTTTATCAGTCCTACTTTTCAAATTTCACAGATCCTTCACATTTGACAAAAACAATTTCACCAAGGATGAAATATAGTTTATATCTCACAGGTGATAAAATTTCTACAGACTGAATTCTCAATAAGGATGTCACTGAATATCTTTTACTCCTGTGTCATATGTTACTCTTGTCCAGGCAGATGCCTCCTTACCCCGCAAAGTGGGAAGCGGTAATTATTTAATGATGGTAAAGGAGTCTTATAAAACATACTGTATAAATCTTATGAATCTGTGATGAACAAATTATTTAATGTATAATTTGTTTCAACAAAGTTCACAATAAAACTTATTAAAGTAAACCTTTTACAAATATTAATTCTCATTCTGCATTTCTAAACTTATGAATTAGAAATAAAGTGATAGAGAAGTAAAAAAAATATTATATATATATATATATATATTTTATATATATTCTATGGTACTTTAAGAGTTAAATATAAAAGAATTAGTACAGTATGTAGATACATGACCAAAAGAAAATGAAAGTTAGAAAAGGAAAAACCATTTAGAGGGGCATACTGAAAACCAGATTAAATATACAGTAGTTAAAATTTGAAACAAAACTTTACCAAAGACAATGGTGGTCACGTAGCAGATAGCAGGTGTCACACGTCCAGCAGTGGGAGGCTAGCCTGGGCACCTGCTTCGTGCACTCAGCACACAACCTCCATGCTCCAGATTCAATTACTTCTTCATACTCCTCATCCCTAGCTTTGTTTGGGGTTTCAAAACCAGGACAAGAGGTGGCACAAACAAGATAAAAACTGGTACACGAGATGCAGGTAAAGGTCACAAAGGCAAAGTTTTCATATGGGCTAATCTTGAGGTAAGGAATAACTTGTGTATAATATATAATGAGGAGAAATGATATAGATGCCGTTAACCAAGCAAAATAAAACCTAGATCTCGAATACTTCTTGCCATCTTTTAATCTTCGTATGCCATAAGTCGAGGTATTGTCAGTAGCAACCTTCTTCCTGATGAACCTGTGTATTGAAAACAACATGGCAGGAAGGAAAACAACGTATGTAATAATAGTTACAGTCCATGTAAAGCATCCCAAGAAAATTGTGAGCAGCACACACACAAGAGCACCAGCCACATCCAATGGCACCTTCTTGGCCCCTCCACGCCATGGTATTCTCAGCCGATCATACACTGTCTCCGTGATCTTTTCAACATTTCTTTTTTCAAGGGATTTTAGTGTAAATAATCTGAAATATAGAAAAGAATTTATTACTTTTAACAAATACTATACTGTACAACAGTTAATATATCATACTGTATGTCTATAAATGTCAAGCTATTAAAAATTGGATAATACAGTACTGTATAATGCATCTTTCAAAATACAGACAAAATTTAAGAGAAACTTGGATTTTAGAATCCTTAAGACTTTCCAGCTACAGTACAGTACTTATAAATGCTAAAAATTTCTTTATAGAAAATTAAAGAATAAGAAAATGTTATGTCAAATGATGGGATTGACATTTTTATCTCTGGACTCATAATCATTTCTCCTCATAAGAATGAGGAGAAACTAACCTATCAAATGCCTCGTCAATGGCTTCACAATCACAAAAAGCACCGAGCAGGTGTGAACGCTCCCCTTCTTTGTTAATGTATTCACAGCAACACAATGCAGAATCATCTTGGGCTGGCTGTAATAGAAATGTATTTAAAATACTAAACTAAATATAGTTTATTCACATGGCAGTGATTAAGGCAGGCATTCATATTCAGGTTTATTTCACAACAAAAAATATTACTGTATTATGAAATACATACAGTGAAGTATTGTATTCTTAAAAATAAAAGTACTAATACAGTACCTCTAATAATACTAGTTTAAATGATTTATTGAGAAAAACAGTAGGAGCCAAGAGAAGGATTTGAAACTGCACACTTGGTACCCCCACAATAACATGATTTCATTGAGCAAATGATTTCTTCATTAGTGTTATTACTGTACTTTAATCAAAACTCCACGAGCTTCAATTGAGAAAAGTATCCCTAGGCTGGCACATCTGACAATAAAAACCCAGCGTTGAATGTAATGCAATGCCATTTTCTGGGCAAGACCCGGAGGCTCCCCTAGAACTATCCAGGCTGATATAGATATATTAGACTTTGGCATCAGTTAATGTGAATGGAGTTCTAGGCCTACTGGGGACCACGAGCCAGAACGTGGCCTCCCCAGAGAAAGGAAAGGAAAGGAAAGGAAAGGAAAGGAAAGGAAAGGAAAGGAAAGGAAAGGAAATAAATATAAATAATAGAATATATATATAATATAATATAATATAATATAATATAATATAATATAATATATATATATATATATATATATATATATATATATATATATATATATATATATATATATATAATAATATATATATATATATATATATATATTATATATATATATATATATATATATATATATATATATATATATATATATATATATATATATATATATATATATATATATATATATATATATATATATATATATATATATATAATATATATATATATATATATATATATATATATATATATATATATATATATATATATATATATATATATATATATATATATATATATATATATATATATATATATATCCAGACAAAGGACTTCCGGAAGATGTAGTTTACATTATTAATTACTTATTACTCATTGGTCAGTGTACCTAGGTAAATACAGTACTAAGTTGGACAGTCCTGGGGTACAAACATCACCTAGACGTATAACACAGCCCTTGGGCCGCCAAAACATCTGTGCCAAAGCAGACATACATATTAAATTAATCAACAGTAAATCAATGGTCAAATAAAGTCAAAATAAGAGGTAAATACTGACCATCTCGAGCGGCCGCCGACTGGCAATTGTTGACACACCACAACAAACGCCCTCCTGCTTATGTTGACATCTGCCTAATATAAAAATCTAGTTAATTATCATCCAAAGCAGAAGTAACGAGTTAAAATATAATAATACAATATTATAATTTCGTGTTAGAGTCGTGTAGTTGGGAGATTTAGCAGGAGTTGAGGGAGATTAGGGAGATGGGAGCGGAGAGGAGACGTGGCACCAGCGCGGACCAACGGGACCAAGCCCGCCAGCCTCTCCGCCATATTACCGCCGGGACCACCCGACCTCTCCTGTATATATGTCAACTTGTGACGAAGCCATCGCTAACCTGAGGTAAGACCACCCTCCCACACCACCAATATCGGTACGAAGAAACCCGTTGCGGCGCCGGGGGAAACCCGGGGCCAGAAATAAAGGCGTGAGCGACACCGGAGCCCACTAGGCGGTGTGCGTATTTAGGTTGGCATTCCTGTGTGGTTCTGATGGCTGGCAACTGCACCGACGAGGCCACCAGGGCAGCCACACTCACACTCACACTCAGCCACTCACGCACTCACACGCACTCAAACACACTCAAACTCTTATGATCCCCCTTACCTAGACCGTACTTAGGACCAGGGGATAGATAGATACAGATAAAGGAAGGGGGAGACATGAGTATAGGTGACAGACAAGCTGTCTGCCTCAAGGCACTATACTCCTCCCACCATGTGTCACCATCACTGGGAGGCACAAATGACAGCCCCCATGACACCACTAGGGTGTCATGGGTAACTGATAGGCAGGTGCCATGACACCATGTTAGTGTGAAAGGTGACTACAGGGGATGTAGGTGGTAATATACTCATTATATTACACATTAGTATAGTGTCTTGTCATATATGCCTTATTTCCATTATTTTCACTATTACATTATATTTCAGTATATTATTTATATTGAATATAATCTTTTAATAACTGTAATTTTATATAATATATAAATCACCACTATAGTAAAATTTTGTATTTTATTACACCTATTTTTTATTTTATTATTACACTATTTTTTTATTACCATATTTATAAATGTGTATAGTATTACTATTATTATTATTTTTATTAATTGTAATTATTATTAGGGAGTATGATTGAGTATAATGCCATTAGTATTGACTGGTGTAATATACTTGTATATACAGTACTGACTTGTATGTCTGGTGATTGTAGTAGTGTAGTTGCTGCAGCTGTATCCCCCATACATTACCACCCATACCTTCCCTTGTAGTGGTGCCTTCATCATTATCATCACTATTATTACCAGCACCATCATTATTATCACCACCATTATCATTATCACTATTATCATCACTACTAATGTCACCCTTATCACCATCACCAATACCATCACTATTATCACCACCACCATCAGTACCATCATAATCACCATCATAATCACTACTATCATCACCACAACTACCATCATCATCTCCACTACTACCATCATCATCTCCACTACTACCATCATCATCTCCACTACTACCATCATCATCACCACTACTACCATCATCATCACCACTACTACCATCATCATCACCACTACTACCATCATCATCACCACTACTACCATCATCACTAAGATCATAATCACCATCTCCACTACCATCATTACATGACAACATCCATCTGATAACATATGTCATATCATTAATGCAAGCACTCAAACCTACTATCATTACCATGGTTACTACTACCATCACCATGATCACTACTCAAATCACCATGATCACTATTGCCACCACCATTATCACAACTACTGCTGCCATTCGCTGCCAGGAAGTGGAAATGGTATTGAGACCTTACAAAGAGTAACTACCTCTTATTTAAACTTCACCAATATGGATCCCAAGGCCTTGCCCTGAACTATATTCGATCCTATCTTAGCGACAGACACCAATATGTAGCCATCAATGATATAACTTTCCCCACTCTACCATTAACTGTAGGAGTGCCACAGGGCAGCATCCTAGTACCTCTCCTGTTTCTTATATACATCAGTGATCTCCCTAATATCTCTAACATTCTTAAACCTGTACTATATGCTGACGATACTACCTTCCTCTACTCAGACCCCAACTCTCACACACTAAATAATGTAAATAACGAATTAAAAAAAAAAGTCTTGTCACTAACAAACTCACACGAAACATAGAAAAGACCTACTACATTCATTTTATTTGAAAGCAAATCAACAAATTAAATTCGGCTTCAGATATACAATGTTAACATCAGCAATAAAAATGATTGGAAGTTCCTTGGCCTATACATAGACAAGAGACTCAACTTCAGCACCCACATACAACACATAACCAAAAAAAGTCTCAAAAATGGTCGGTATACTTTCTAAAATCAGATATTATGTTCCAAACTCTGCTCTCCTCTCATTATACTATGCACTAATCTGTCCCTATCTTGCGTATGGTATCTGTGTATGGGGTTCAACCCCTGCAAACTACCTCAAGCCTGTCATTGCCCAACAAAAATCTGCTATCAGAACAATAACAAACTCTGTTTTCAGACAACACACAGCCCCCTCTGTTTAAATCTCTAAACATGCTAAACATAAACTCACTCCACACATTCTCTTGTGCCATTTACATGTACAAAACCTTGTTCCTAAATGCTAATCCTGATCTGAAACTCTTCCTTGTCAGATGTATTAGAACCCATAATTACCTCACCAGAAATAAATATATCTTTTGATATCCCCAAAGTTAAACTAAATCTGTGTAAACACTGTGCAAATAAAGGGGACCTAATCTATGGAACTCACTCCTTAATGAATTAAAAAGCTGTCCAACCTATGCCTTATTCAAAAGTAAAACCAAAAGTACCTAATTTCATCCTCTAGTTTCCTACCCAGTACTTCAAACTTGCACTGTATCTTGTGCTACCTATTCCCCCAATATATGTGCCTAAGTCATACAACTTCACCTTTGTAATCACTGCTGTCATCTAATATCATGGTTGTTATGTTGAATGCAAATTTTACTACAATATACCTAGAAATACTCAAATTATGCTACAATGTACCTGTTGATAATCCTCAAATTTTACTGTAATGTACCTACTAGTTTTCTTCAAATTTTCTTTCAATGCACCTGTTAACATTTTTCAATTTTGCTACAAATTATCTACTTAAAATTCTTTTTTCAATTTTGCTACAAATTACCTACTTAAAATTCTCTGTTAAATTAAGGACCTGACCAAAATGCTATGCATATTAGTGGCTTTACAGGAATGTAAAAACATTAATGCTATACACTCTCATAAACCCAATGTACCTTCTTGTATATAAATAAATAAATAAATAAATAAATAAATAAATAAAGATAACATGGACTCCACAAATAGTCAGAAGACTGGCAAATGCTTTTTAATATTGAGAAATGCAAGACCTTGCATGTGGGGCATGACAATCTACGGCTCAACTACCAGATTAACAGCATTTCCTTGCAGTAGATTGATGAAGAAAAGGACCTTGGAGTCAGAAACCAACATTCACTGAAAGTTGCAAAACAAGTGGGAGCTACAGTGAAAAAAGCTAGCCAAATGCCTAGGAATAGTCAAGTGAATCTTTGACTTCAAGGAAAAGTAGGTAGTTATTAAACTGTATAAATCTCTAGTGCACTCCCACTTGGATTATCATATCTAAGCATGGAGACCTCATTGTCAAAAGGACATAGCTACTTTAGAGAAAGTTCAACACCGGGCAACAAAAATAATTCAAGAACTAAATCAACTCTCATTCCAGGAACGATTTAGGAGTCGATTTAGAGGAACGGTTGAGGGCCACAGGGCTAACAATACTGTACTGTACTGCAAACCAGACATGACTGGGCTGATCTCATCAAACTTTTAATATACTGAACAATTTGGAGGACATTGATCCAGACAATTAAAAGGTCAGATGTAAAACAAACAAGGAGCAACACTTTCAAGCTCAAAAAGCCACAATGTAGGACAGAAAATAGGAGATGCTACATCACCCATAGGGTTACAAACCCCATGGAACTGCTTACACCTAAGTTGTAAGTTGAGTTGTTGCACAACTCCACCTAAGTCTGTGGAGTTGTGCTCTGGTTGTTGGTCTAGAGTGGCCTCTCCAGGGTGCAAAGCCAGGGAAGGTTGATACGGAGAAGAAGCTGTTACCCAAGCAGCAGGTCCCTCCTCTCCATGGTGTTAAAAGTCTCCAGTGTAATGGCAAACACCAATATGATTGGTTTCAGCGCCGTCGCAGGAACTGTGAGCTCCGGAGTTGACTTCGAAGTTGGTGAAAGAAGGCACAGGGACTCCAAACCCTGAGACCACCGTAGTCGGGGCCAGAGAAGAACAACCCCAGCAAGGACAAGAACGACTCCAGCCTCCTGAAGCAGAGCCTGGGCTGCACGAGCCCTAGGAAGTGGACGTCCCAGTCCCGCACCCAGGGGTTCCAGACAGAGATCATCACAGCCCCCTTTCACCCGAGGCCGGCTTCCTTCTAGACCAAGCAGAAGGAAGAGTGATAATTATTAAATACAATAATTATTATTATAATAATTATTACAATAATAATATAATAATTATTATTAAATACAATAATTATTATTACAGTATAATAATTATTACAATAATAATATAATTGATTAATATTTATGACTTCCTTCTGCTTGGTCTATGTAATATTACTATATAGTAATACTTACAGTATTACTATATAGTAATATTACTATATTACTATATAGTAATATTATACTGTACTGTCTTGGCACTTTCTCATGATAATTACCATACCTTATTCAGTACTGCCTGTTTGTTCCTTTGTGAGCAGCCAGTGCATCACATTTTATTGAGTTTTTGTATGTTTGATTAATATATACAGTACTGTATATCCTTTACTGTATTTATCTTTACAGAATATGGAAGGGTTATCCCTAGATGTGTCATCACTGGGTGAAGGGGCCCAGATGATTACCCTGGTGGAGACTACATCTCTTGATGACGATTGTACCCAACCTAATGTCCATATCCTCACTGCCCACCAGGTAACTTATTACATTTCAACCACCTTCTGTACACTTTATTTTCAGTAAACTTTTATTCTTGTTTACTTCTTATAAACTTCTTGGTGAGTGCACCACCCGTCAACGAGATATCTCAGTGAGCACAGTACAGGAATTATGGCAATTTTCCTTTTGGCTCTTCCAGCTGTTGGGTTGGGAGGCTTCTTCAGAGGCGTGTTTTTTTTTTCCTTCAGATCTGAGCTTTGTTTTCTGCTTCTCCAGAGAATGGTATGCCTGACTTACAGTAATAATGTTAAATGTAATTTACCTGATTTACCGTGTAATTTACATGAATTTTACCAGAGGGATAAAGTTTACCACTAATACTAGTGGTCTTGATGAGGACAGGAAGCCGGTGGCTTGTCAAAGCCCCCCTCCCCCCCCCCATTTGCCCTGATGATCTTTTCCAGCTGTAAAACAGCTGTAATGAAACACTTTTTGGTGGGCCACTCCCTTTTTTCCTGTTGTAGCTGCGGTGGGGGAGGGATGAAGTGTCTGCATATACTGTCTATAGTACTTAAATACAATTGTAACATTTTCATATTTTATAATCATTAGTTGGAAAAGAGTGAATCTGAACAGCAACAAGAAGAGAGACAGCAACATACTCATCTGCACCATCACCACCACCATCACCACCACCACCACCATCTACAAACAGCAGATCCCAACCAGGGATTCCAGAAATTGCAGCAAAATGGATTGCAGAGCAGTCCACACTGCATGGTCTGTAATGCCAAGTTGGGAGTGTCTGCTAGAGGTGCTATGGAGGTCCTCTCTGATAAAGTAAGTCATCATCAGTCTTGTTTGTGTTTTACAAGCACTCTGTGATACACAGAATATATATTTCTGAAACTTTGATCCCTATTTTTTGTCTTGATTTTTATTATATAACTGTGGATGCTAGACATTTATAATAAATGCAGATGGTGAGTCACAATAATGTGGCTGAAGATATGATGACCAAGCCACACACCAGAAGATGAAGAAACAACGACTTTTCATGTTCACAGCTCTTTGTTCGATTTCTCTTTCTCTGTCTACCACAAACCCTTGCATAGTGGTACAGTATTTACATTCATTTCTTTTCCTACCATCCTCCTCCTGTTAAGAAAAGTGTCCTTGTTTCACTCTTCCTTAGCGGAAGAGTGAGACGCTCCCCTGGACGTTAGAGCGATGGGCTCGCTTCATGAAGGTTGGCGTTCAATCCCCGACCATCCAAGTGGTTGGGCACCGTTCCTTTTCCCCCGTCCCATCCCAAATCCTTATCCTGATTACTTCCAAGTGCTATATACTGTAGTCGTAATGGCTTAATGCTTTCCCCTGATAATTCCCTCTACACATCAGTGACCCTCAGTTTCTTGACTCTAATACAGTATTTGCTTTATTTTACAAATCTTTCTCTCGCCTTGGATACCCCTTACATTTTATCAGCTGTGCCTTTTCTCAAGAGAAATGAAATTTCTTTTATTCCAAACCTGTTTCCAACACTATTACAATATTTCTTTATGATAAATGAGGAATGTATAGATTTTATAAACTTTTGTTTATCCAACAAATACCATGTATATACCGTAATGTACATACAGTACCTTTTATTATACATTTATTATTTTTCCATACTCTAGATTATTCTTTTCTTAATATTTTGACACAAAATTCATAAAATTATAGCCAAGAAAAAGCTTAAAATTTAAAAATATACAAATTTTATGATTCTTTTGGAGCCTCGAGAGAGCCAGACTATTTACCGTCGGGCATGTGGTGATGGACTGTAAGGTGGAGGTGCTAATCTCAACAGTTTACTAGCATTTTTACAATTATTCTCATGACATGTTATCTAGTATTGTATCACATTAGTGTTATTGGCTACAAAGTAAAATAAGCTAAAATAATACTTAATATTATTAACATTATGCTACATACTTTCAGTTCAACAGCTAAGGAATGTGTCTTCAGCTTTGAACTTAATAAGTGTTTTGTCACAGGCGAAGACTTCACACCGGCAGCTGCTGGTTCATGCTGTGCTGAGTGCCATTGTCAACCAGGACCTCTGTGATATGGTTGCTCACTCAAGCATCTTGTGTAAAAAGTGCTTCAAGCTTATCGATGACATTGATTCCCTTGAGGGTCAGCTAATGAACTTGAAACAGGCAAGTGAAACACTTTTGATAGATCAATCCATGTATCTACTATGGTATTTATTACCAATGTAGTTACATGGTGCATGCAAAATCAAATTCTGTGACTGATGTGATCTTGTAGTGTGGAGCAATCTCACCTGCGTGCCTCTGTTCCCTCTATTGTGTCCCTGTTTCACCTGTGTAATGAGTCTGTTCTTTTCCTGAGGATGTTAAAGGGGTGGCTGAGGCCAGGAAACCCATAGGTGTACTATATGGTGCTACTGCTACTTGTTAGGTAACGTGGCAGGCTTGCTAGGATGACTGTTTTATGAATGGACCTATCTTGGTGAGTTTAAACTGTGCTGAATGCTCTCTAGTGACGTCCTAGCACCTATTATAACACTGCAGAGACTGATAGACAAATTTCCTGTGGTTTTGATGCTCTAGAATGTCATCCTGCCTAATAACATGATCCTGATTCACAGACACAGCAGATCTTACCTTTTCGGAGCAATCAAGTGAACTACTCTGAAAAAGTGAAAAATACTTTTCATATAACTCAGTCATGATTTTTGTCCTTCAGGTGGTGACTAATAAGTACATGAGAACCCTGGCCTTGGTGAAGCAGAACTGTCTTGAGGGGAATGTGGAATGTGTACTGGAGGAGGACTCTCTCAACCTGGAAGCCTCTACTCTTACTAAAGATGATAAAGATTTTAAAGTGTACATGGGATCAGGTTAGTCAGTCTGATACTCTAAATAAGAATCCTAAGAATTTACAGAATTACTAAATTTACAGAATCCTAAGCTTAAAATCTTGCATATTTATTAATTTATAATTTCCTTCCTATCTAGAGACATACTGGTACTGGGCAGGCCATTGAGGGCAATTAAGTCATAGTGCGGTTTCATTGACATTATTATACTGGCTGCCACTTTGAATGTTGTGGGATAAGTACACATTAAAAGAGCAGACCAAGGAGGGAGGGAATTATCAAGGGAAAGTGCCAAGCCATTACAACTATGGCACTTGGAAAGGATAAAAACCAAAAAGTAACAAATTTCCCCCTCACAGTTTCCCACCTTGTGCTACTAACTCGCACTGTATCTTGTGTTACCCACTCACCAAATGTAGTACTTAAGACATACAACTTCATCACTATAATCTATTCTATTAATTTGTAATATAGTTATTATATTGAACTCAAATTCTGTTATAATGTTCCTGTTATTACTTTTAATGGTTAGCTTATGGATCTGCCTGAAATGCTATGCATGTTGATGGCTTTGCAAAAATGTAACACTCAAACCCCAATGTATGCACCTTCTCAACCCAATGTACCTTCTTTTATATAAATATAAACAAATAAAATATAAAACTGGTCCCCAGAAGGCCAAACAATACTATCTGTGACTGTTGTGACCTTTCAGTATGAAGCACTCTCAAGAATATAGCTTCAGTGAGTCACCAGGACTCTTTCAGTAATTCAATGCTGGGTTTATCTTTATCTGCTCTTACTACGATCTCTCTCCTGATGATTATAAGGCCCTCTCTTCTGTCATCTAGTTCCTCATTAGTCATGTGTTGCTTGCTGGTAGACTGTAGGCAGTAATATTTATCAGTTTATCATTCTGATTGCGAGTCTCCATCACCATTCTCGACACAATGAGCGTGAGAGTGAGTGAGTTTGTGATTTTTGTGAATATATGTTTCTGATTTACAAGATGCCTGTAGTGCTCAAAATCCTTGTGTCCCACTTTAGTTAGACAGTTTAATGTATTCACTCAAAGTGCAATTACATAAGTGAAGTGTGAGTATGAGCATGTCTGAGTGTACTAATTGAAGCAGCTTCTTTACTGGCAGGCAGTGGAGGACGTACTCGTCGAGGTCGTCGAGGCAGAGGACGAGGTCGACCACCAAATGTAAAATTTGAAGTAAAGCAGGAGGAATCAGTTGAAGTCATTACTGGTCTAGCAGCCTGTGAACCTGTTGAGTCATTGAAACACCAGGTATTAAAGTCAACAGTATTCCGTGTCCATTAAGATATCATGTATGGTAAGAGTATATTGATATGAAAATTACTGAAAAATCAAGCATGGAAAAGAGTGCTTATTATTTAAATATATGTTATTAGCAGGAGCACATTTAGTCAATCAAAACTAACTTAATACCAAATAGAAAAATATTTTATAATAAATGCATATGAGGCAATCCATAAAGGTCAGGAATTCTAATTCTTTGCAGTGTATAAATTCACAATATCATGTACTATCACAACATAGCAAAGTACATAAGGGTATCAAAGTACTGTTCATAAGAGTATCAGCAGTCCCTGTGGCAAAGTGGTAAGACTGGCGTTTCGCGAGCCCTTTGGCCTGGGTTCGTATCCTGGCCAGGGAGGATTTATTTGGCACCAATCCTTATCTGTAGCCTCTGAACTTTCTCAAGTTTCTCTTTATGTTTCACAAAGTGTGGATTCCATGCTGGAACTGCATACTCCAGTAATGATCTCACATGGGCAGAGTGTATTTAAACTCCCACCTTTGACAATGCAGATGTTGGGATTACAGACATTTTCCCAGATACAGGTGACAACATGAGTGAAATAGAATTCTTTACGGCTTATTTTGATGTGCCGCTCATGGAACATATCATCGTCTGGTAGCAAAGACAGTGAGCACCCATGAAACTCACACTCGGCGAGGGTGGGCTCAATGGATCAATCCATAACAGACCATGCCACAGACCTGCAAGTGATTCCCAGGGCCTGAAAGCAGCTAGCCAAGTAGAAACACCAGGTACTGGGGCCATTCTTCAGAAGAACAGTCACCAAATGTAGCCTCAACAATCAGGCTACTAATAGTGACCATGTCATACTATATAAACAAGCACACAAACCACAGTGTATCCCAGCACAGCCAAAGAATGCCCCCCACCCAAGGGCTCAAACAAAGCAATCAAATATCTATGATTAGCCCAAGGTGAAGCTCTCCACTCCTGTGGCTAGGCCTCTCGGGAGAACTCCTGGACACAGCGGGAAAGATAACTCTAACTGTACAAGGGCAGCGTTAGCAGTCACCCAGGAAAGTAAACCCTGAATCCATGCAGCTCAAAATGCAAGCCTACACAACAAGCCAGATTGAAAGCACCCATGTGAAGCTAATACTAAAACAGAAACACTACATAAAGCAAATGGCCCCTGCAGGACAACAGAGTCCAAGGATGGCCGGCAGTTAACTTGAAGTGGTGGGGCTTACCCACGACCGATGGATCAGAATGGTACAGGTAGATCCAAACGCTGCCTCATCAGCAACAGAACTGAGATGGAGAGCCAGTTGGGGCCATGCTGACTGGTGGTGGTAATCAGTACAGTACTAACAAATTTTGAGCTAGTTTGAGGGAAACCCTTGTTCTGTGTGAATCAGTTTCAAAGTTGTTTGGTGACTTTAATTTTTCAGTGAATCTTCCAGTTGTTTGTCAAGTGTTGCTGACTTTCTAGACACTTTTTCTGGTGAGGGTGGCAGATTGTCACTTGGTCGCTGTGCCTCTGTGAAATGGGGGCAGGTTTTGGCTCTGGTCCCCAGTAAGCCAAACAGAACTTCTGCAACTGATGTGATCTAGTATGGAGCAATTTCAGCAAAATGGCTTCATAAATATGCATTGTAAATTTTGAGACAACCATGAATTGTGTAAATAACTGTAGGATATAAGGCTAAGGTGGCCAAGTTGCTTGCACAACAGATATGTAATTAATGGGTTTTATTAATAAGTGTAATATTACTTCTAATAGGAATATACAATAACCTGATTAGGTCCATGAACATTGCATACAGGGCCTTCTCGGCTCATCAGACAGTAATGACGACCTTGAAGGGAGGCTGGATGAAGCCCTGGAGGATGATGGAGGGACAGATATGCTTATGGTTGAAGAAGAAATACTAGAAGCTTCTGCTGTTGCTGAGGCAGTGGAAAATGTTATGGAGGTGGATGGACTGGACTTGGATGAAAATGAAACATGTGTTCAAGTAAGATTTAAGTTTATAATGTGTAGTAGTTTTGTCTACATGAAATATAGTGTGTTCAGTATACTGTATTGTTAGTTAATTTGTGTTGTGAAATAATGCAATCTGCCGAAGAGATAATGTTGATTAGAACTGTAGTTCAGTACTGCAGTTTTTGGTGTATCCTTATTTGATTTTAAACCATATCAGAGATAAACTTGTGATAGATTATCAATACAATACTCAAAGTTGCACCATTAATAGCTTAAAGTAGCTTGGAAATTTATTCAGCTGATTAAAGATATTTTATGTTTAGTGTATGTGTATTTATGGTATTCCATGTTATTTTGTTATGAACTGTCATTCCTGTTATGTTTATAATGATAATGACTGATAATGTTTAGGGATATAGCTGTGGTGATGTTCATCTAATTGTTGATAATAATTAGATAATCCCTGATTAGTACAGTCCTTCTTTCAATTTCTTATTGCAGGTTTTCCCACAAGATTTGCTGAAATTTAAGTGTGACACCATCATCATTTTAATTTTGTAAACTACCCAGCTGTTAAATTTACAAGGATTTTCTGTGTGGAGCCTTGTCGGCTCCCTGAAGCTATCCAGACTGAATGTGCAGTCTTAGTTTGGGGTCATCAGTTACGGGAGGTTTTCTGCTTCTCAGATTTTCCCCCTGCGGATGTTCGGGAGCCTCTTAGTGCCTACCTTCTGCGTGACCCGGAATTCGCCTCTATTTTGGACCCGATCTCTTTTAAGTTCAATTTCTCTTCCCCATACTGTGTGCGTTATGAGGTTCCTGGGTCCTCCTGGCTTGTAGACTGCTCTCTCTTTACTCTGGGGGGTGTGGCACAGTTTTTGTCGTACCCGCACGCTTGAGTGGTGTGAGGTTTCCTCGGTGTTACAGGTTTTCTTGTGAGGGGGGGGTTCTCTTGAGTTACTTAATGAGTACCTTTACGCCCCTGCGCTTTCTTGTGAGGTCAGATTGCAGCAGTTGCATGCTCAGGTCCCTGTGCCCTTGGCTGCCTTGGTTGCTGATGATAACCGTACTCACAGTCATTTGGCTTCAGTCTTATGCTTCTTTAGCCTTCTGGAACTATCTTTAGACTTGCAGAGGATGCGTAGGCATTGAGCGCCGGGCCTTCGAATGGGGAGCTGATCTCGACGGCTCGGCCGTCTAACCCTTCCCCCCATCTGAGGGTTAGAGCAAAGGGCTAACCCTATGCCCCCTTCCCTGTCTCTCTGTCAGCATCAGAGAGACAGGAAGGGGCAAAGGGTTAGCACCCCCTCCTCCCTTTCGGGGGAAGGAGGGGTTGCTAACAAGCCGGCACACTAGTTGGATGACATTTTGTTTGTTTTCTTTTGGGAGGAGTTCTTTGGCCCTGTTTGGACATAGGTTGCAGTTTTGATTAGTTGGGGGATTGTATTGTTTTGCCTACTTTCTGGGGGTATATCCCGGTCAATGGCAGACATGACATACTCTAAATGTAGAATGCTCATATGGCCATTGCTTCCTGCGCCTCTAGGAAGTGGAACAGGTTCTGGCTCTGGTTTCCGGTAGGCATAAAGAATTCCCATAACTGATGACCCCAAACTAAGATGGCTCATGTCAGTTCAGATAGCTTCAGGGAGCCTCCTGGACTCGCCAAGAAAATGGCTTTTCATTACATTCAAAGCTAGATTTTTTTTTACATCTATAGTTATTTCAATAAAAAAGACTTGCCTCTTAAATTTTTCAGATTGGTGGGCTAACTTTACCTACTTTAAGCAATCATGAATTAGACGATGAGCATGATTCACAAGATTTAAATTCAGACACTCACCTACTGGAAGATGGAACCGAGAAGTACAAATGTCGGTTCTGTTCCCTCAAACTGAGTGTGCTAGCTGACATTCAGACTCACATGAGAGAGGTGGGTATTTACCTTAAGGTGCATTTATAAGTATACAGTATCTCCATTTTCTTCATAAATAATTCTGTACTGTACAACTTTCTTTAGCATGTATGAAAGGATGCTTCCCAGTTACAAGTGCTATTATTGATGTATAGGAATTAATTAACTTCATGATACCTTCATTGAATAATTTGTTGTATTTTTTCTCAGTCTCATCCTGAGCGCCTGTATGAATGTGAAGTTTGTCAAGAGAGGCTTACAACCAAAGCTGAGCTGCTGTGCCACTTGGAAGAGCACATTGCCTCAGGAGAGAAACATTATGCTTGTACAATGTGTCCACGAAAATATGCTCTTCCTCGGCAGTTAAAAGAACACATCAGACATCACATGAACAAAACCTTTGCGTGTTCTCAGTGCCCAAAGAAATTCCGGTCAGAAGCAGCTCTTCAAGAACACTTTAATGTTCACACTGGAAATCGTCCGTATGGTTGTGACCAGTGTTTCAAAAAGTTTACATCTAAGCACATCCTTAAGACCCACATGAAAACACATGGTGTACGCCATAGACCACACCAGTGCAGAACGTGTGGCAAAACCTTTCTTACATCACATCACTTGGCTGATCACCTAAATGTGCATGAAGGAAAGAAAAATTTTATATGTGAATCATGTGGAAAAGCCTTTGCAACTCAAAGAAGCCTAGATTTGCATGCCATTATCCATTCAGGAGTGAAAAATTTTCCTTGTACAATTTGTAATAAACTCTTTGCAAGAAAAGGTGAAGTTGAGGATCATGAGAGAACACATACTGGTGAAAAACCTTTCCAGTGTGAAATATGTGGTTCTACTTTCAGCCAGAGGAGCAACTTACAGTCTCACAAGAGGGTCACACACTTCCAAGAAAAGAGATATCATTGTAATCAATGCAGCAAAGCATTCAAGAGGAAGAGGCTTTTGGTTTATCATGTTATGAGTGTACACACAGGTGAGCGTCCATATAAATGTGAACAGTGTGAAGCAGGCTTTGTGTATCCTGAACATTATAAAAAACATTTAAGAATCCATACTGGTGAAAAGCCATTTCCATGTGATATATGTGGTAAGATGTTCAATTCCAGGGACAATCGAAATGCTCACAAATTTATTCACTCAGATAAAAAGCCATATGAATGTATGTTGTGCGGTGCTGGATTTATGCGCAAACCTATGTTAGCCTCTCATCTTCAGCAACATGGTCATACAGAAAACCTCGAGACTTATATTAAAGTAAATCCTCCAACTATTGTGGCTTCTGATATGACAGGGGAAAGTGTACCGAGTCCAACTGAAACTATTCAAAGCATAAAGCTGGATGAAGAGAGCTTGGAGCCAAGTTTAGATGGACCTGTGCAGTTGGTGCGTAGTAGTGTGCGTGATGGAGATACTGTAGAAGTTGTGTCTAGACCTGTCCACATCATTGAAGCTGATGATTTGCCACGTTATATCATCCATACTACAAGTGGGGGGGAGCGAAATGAAGAAGGTGTGGGGCATTTCTTTGCTTCTCTTCAAGGTCAGGTTGTAGAAGTGCGAGCAGAAGACATTGAACGTTACACTGACCTTACTCCAGACCAAATAACACAAGTTGCTCAAGTGGCAGCTCAAGTTGTCGCTGGTCAGCCTGCAAACAGTGGTATCCAACAAGTGTCTGTCTCTAGTGATCTTCGTCCATTTAATATTCAACTTGAACCTGGCACTCGTGAAATTACACTTCAAGCTCAAACAACAAATGCAGTTTCAACTTCTGATGGTGTTGCCACAGGTACTGCTGTTACAACACGTGATGTCAGTATACCAACAGTTAGTCAGGTGCAAGGAAATGCTGGAACAACAGTCCTGGTAGGAGGACGTCATATACAGTATGAATCGGGAGGACTTGCACAAAGCACTCTGAGAAAAGCTTTGACAGACAGACAAGAGTTACGTACTATATCTGTTCATAACATAACATCAGATTCACGCTCGCTTCGGTTGTGGCCTCAACAGGCTATTAATTCATCAACAAATAATTTTATTGGTAATTAATAATCAAGTTATATTTGTTATAAAATATATGTTTGGCTATGCTGAGTTACTTAGAGTATTGTGCACTGAAATGCTGTATGATTAAAGGGTGTTGAAGATGTATATATTTAGCTCTATTTTTGAAAGATGGATTGTTAATGCTTCTTTGTTGCAAGTCTATGTTTAGAATAAGAAAGTTAAGATGAACTTTCATGTATATTTCCATATAAACATGTATATTCTAAATATCATAGGTTTAAATCATAAATATCATTCCTTTAAACCATAAACTTCAAGTTGTGTGGACTATTGGAAATACTGTATAGTTTGTTTCTTAATTAATATGCAGTTTTAATGCATAATAGCTAATGTTAAATGTAATGAAATGCCTCTTTCTGGTAGGGCCTCAGTCTTGCTGAGATGTCTTCCTTCTGCTGAGTCACATCAGCCATCAGAGTCCTGTATAGCCTACTGGAGACCAGAGCCAGAACCTTGCTTCCCTCACAAAGACATATGGAGGTGAACATTTTTACAATTACTGTCACTGAGAAAACATCTAGAAAGTAAGGCAAGCAATACAGACAGCTGTAACTTTCAAAGAAAATGGAATACAAACAGCCAAACGACTTAAAACAACTAAGAAATGAGCTCGTACCCGGCCCCCCTTAGTTATAATTGGCCACTATCAGCATCCCAGGAACTTTCAGGAATCGGGGAACCACCAAGGCTCCCTGAATATATCTAACAACAGAGAAGAGGCTATCTTGATTTATCTTGAGATGATTTCGGAACCTAGCGTCCCCGAAGCCCGGTCCTCGACCAGGCCTCCTTTTTGTTACACACCCCCAGGAAGCAACTGTAACAGCTGTCTAAGTCCCAGGTACCTATTTACTGCTAGGTAAATAGGTACCTGGGACAGGTACCTATTTACCAGGTAAAATAGGTACAGGAGGAGTGTTAGGGAGTGACACATTCACATTCACGAAGTGTCCGACATCCTGGCAACTGGCCTGTCGTACTTCATTCCTATTTCCACAGAGTGGACGGTCAACACCGACTGATTCCTTTGGCTTTGTCTGATGTTTGGGCACCCGGAGGCACTCTAGTTGGATGATAATTTGCTTGACTGTTTTCTTTTGGGGAGAGTTCTTTGGCTCTGTTCGGATGTAGGTAGCAATTTTCACCAATAGAGGGTTTGTATTGTTTTGCCTATCTTTCTGGGTGCCCTCCACGGTTGATGGTCGATGGCTGTACGAGTGCTCATATAGCCATTGCTCCCTGTGCCTCTCTGAGGGAACAAGGTTCTGGCTCGTGGTCTCTGGAAGGCACAAGAAGGCACAAGATTGAAGGCATCAATCACAAGAACTGTGATTGATGACCCCAAACTAATATTGCACATATCAGTCTGGATAGCTTCAGACTGTGAGCCCTGTATACAGTATGCATGGAACTTTTTAAATCTTAAATGGTATGTACTTTAATATGGCCCTAGTTGTTTTGTGCAGCGGAAGGGTTAAAAGAAAATTGAGGGCTACCAACTTGCCAAGGTGAATCAGAACTTTGAAACATGAGCCAGAAGGTAAAAGCCAACCTGAGCATGAAAGAGGCCAAGTCCATAAGGGAAGCAAGCTCCTGAGCCTGCAGGAGGAATTAGAAAAGGCCCATATGAGCTGAAGAAGGCACACAGCAGGATAACAAATGCTAGGACGCCTGGCATCACGGCCCTTGTGGATTTGTTCTTTAGGTGAGTACTACCCAGGGGAAGGCACTCAATACAGTAGCCTGGCCTTTCAGGGGGCAAAACTCCCAAACTCACCAGAGAAGTCACTCTGTCAGAGCAGGAAGCAACAATAAACAGGGGTTTAGGGAATAGCTATCCTAAACACATGGAGCTGAAAGTGAATTATAAATCAAGTCTGCACAACCTGAAACACACGCTTGAGGAGCAAATACCAAGGTTGGAAATGATACAAAAGTAAATGGCCCCCACAGGATAGTGTCCAAAGGATGGCCTACACTTATCTTGAAAAAAGTATGACTCACTTCAGCCAGGAGCACAGGGAGATCCATATTCACAGACATCAGCAACAGGATTGGGGCAAACTGGTGCAGGAGCATGCACCAGTTTGCCCCATTAAGTTTGTGGAGTTCTTGGGTGCTGCCACCTGTTGGTGGCTAGTCATAACTGGGAGAGGGGGACTGTTCGAGCTCATTTCTAAGTGATCATTTGTGGAGTCATTTGGCTATTTTGGTGCTTCATTTTATATGATCATTGCAGTTATCTGTATTGCTTCACCTTTTGGATGTTTTATTGGTGAGGCTAACCATAACAATCCCCAGCTCCCTGTCTCTCTCTGTTAAGGAAGTCAGATTCTGGCTGGTCTCTGGTAGGCCATACTGGACTCCTAATGGCTGACATACTCAGTGGGGGGGGGGGGTCTATCTTGGCAAGATGGCTTCAAAGAGTCATTGAGGTCTCCTCCATAAAGGGCATACTATTGAGTTACACTGAAGAAGAAAAGCAAAGGTGATAAGAGGGGGAGCCTTTTTTCAAGTGTTAATTACTGTACAAAAAAAATTGCTGTGTTCTAAATAGAAGAATTAGTTTATGTAACTAAGTGATTTAGTTTTGTAGCCAATAAAAAATTGTCTCGTTATATGAGAGAAACAGTGCAGCACACTAAAAAAAATAAACATTAACCAAACAAATTGAGTTCTAGTACAGTATATTAGATACAAGCAAAATTAGTTTTCTGAAAAACTAAATTTTTAACATTTCAACATACAGTGGGACCTCAGTTTTTGTATTTAATCCGTTTCCAGAGATGGTACGAAAACCGAAACGAATTTCCCCATAAGAAATAATGTAAATTGAATTAATCTGTTCCACACCCCCAAAATATTAACTAAATATATTTTTTATACAGACTAATACTCTTAGGTACCTTACCTTTATTGAGGACTCTTGTTGGCATATGGAAGACAGTGAGGAAGGGGGGTGGAGGAGAGGTGTTAGTGTTTGGAAGGGGAGTTCCCTTCCATTATAACTGCAGTGATGACATATCTGGGGTACTCTCTCTCTTACGTTTTGCAGGCATACCACTAGGACCTGACTGGCTCAGTACTTGCTTGTCTTACTAAGAATCTGTCTATAGACACTTGTTTTCCTACATTTTAACACTCGTCTGTAGTGAGACATCACATTGTCTCAATATGAATGATCTCTTGTTTTTCCTGTATCGTCTTCCTCACAACTATTTTCTTAGGTTGAACATTACCACTGACTTTTTTGGAACTTTCTTTCTTTCTTGGTGTGATATATAATAAAAACTTTTATGTTCAGAAACCAAAAAAAGCACAAAAACAATTGAATTCTTCACAAAGAATTCAAACGCAATCATCACTAGGCGGGAGTCACTGGTAAACTGAAGCGCCATACTCTCGTTGGACCCGTACATGTATAAACAAATTCCAAAAACCGAGGCAAACAAAGAAAACCGAATCAAATTTTTTGATGAAATTTAGTACGAAACAGGGACATACGAAAACTGAGGTTCCACTGTACAGTTTTAGGGTTCCTATATTTTAGCAATGAAATTTATTTGTGTAGTTTCCAATTTTTTTTTGCAAACTCATTCATCATAAAATTATGGCCACTCCATATATAAATATTTTTTTCAGAATTAAATATTTTAATTAAATACTTTATGCATTTAAATTTTCCTGAGGTAAGAACCGATGGATGCATTTTAGGTTTTATTTACAGTAGTAGATATTTACAAATATTTATTTTTTTATCTTTACTGTATGTATTTGATTATTATAATACTGACTGGCTTGGCTTGTCTAAAACAGGAATTAATCATTTTATAATTCATGGGCATTTACTGTGAGAATGCATATACATTTATTGTATATTGTATATTAATTTGCTACAAAAAAAAGCAGTCAATACTGACAAAAAATAGTTAAAAGATGTGTCTACAAATTTAGGACCAGCAAAGTAGGTACAGTACCTTCGTTTACACAGTAGCAAGGCATGCAGTAGAATTCTGCCCGTCACTGTAAACAGCTGTAAACTTGTAAACTTGAACATGAGTTATACGTGTTTTGTATTATATTACATCTATAATTATTATTATTATGTATTATTATAAATATATGTATTATATTTTTTATATAAAAGTCCAGATCAAACTCACATTAAACCAATAATCAGAACATGGCAGTCTTCTTATCACAGGAATAGGAATAGTGTATTAAGCTCTTTGGATTGATCTTTGATGCGTAGTTGTCTTGGTTGTCTCACATCACTTACCTCTTAAGTTGAATATTCCAAGGCCTTTACCTTACTCAAAGTCTTGTCCAATACCTCCTGGTGGGTAGATAGGATAATACTGTTTCCATTTGCACTCCTCTGTGCTGTCTGCATTGTGATTGTCTCGAGTATTCATTGGCTTTGTCTTCTACTCTTTATCAGCTCGACACCTTGCATCATTCAGGGTTTCTGCTTTGGTTGAGGTGCCTTTCATTCTTTCCATATCCAATCTTTCCCTTGATCAATCAAAACAAGATTGCTACAATTGATACTGCATTTGATACTTTGCATGGTACCTATAACATCCCCATTCCTGCTTGTGCCATACTTTGACTTCTGACCCTCTTGAAGGCCCTGTTCCCTTTTCATTACTCACTTTTTAATTCAAGGATGGCCTGTTTGCAGGATAATCTTTCTTTGTACACTTTTGCAATGTATTTCTTTGTCTTGTTCCTACCTTACCCCTAGTCAGGGTCCCATTTGTATAGTTTTGTGAAGTCCTGATCTGTACAGTGATGGTTTACACTCCACTTCCTCTACTGATATGAAAGGCCTTTTTCTTTCACATTCTCACATGCTCTATTCACAGGCGAGTCAAAGTCTATCCATCGTGTTGGCTGCTCTGTTGTTTTCCCGATTTATTCATAACATAATGCATAACAATTAAAAGAATAGATGGGTTAGGTGTTATGAATAACAAATTGCATACTATTAAATATGAACTATCCATGTGACCTTCCTCCTTCCATTATAACAGGAATTGATAAAAGACTTTGGTTAGGTTGCTTATTGACAATATTATTTATTGTGTAGGGGTTGGGGTCCGAAAAGGTAAAGGTAATATAGGTTTAAGAATGTTTGAAACATTTGGCAAATCATTAATGTATATAAGAAATAGAAGAGGTCCTAAGATGCTGCTCTGTGGCACTCCTACTGTTAATGGTAGAATGGGGGGAGGTTATGTTATTGATGGCTAGATATTGGTGTCTGTAACTAAGATAGGAACAAATATAGTTCAGAGAAAGGCCTCGGATACCATAGTGGTGAAGTTTAAGTAAGAGGTAGTTATGGTTTACAGTATCAAAGGTCTGTCTCAGGTCAATGAAGAGGCCAATTGGGAGCTCATTTTTTCAAACTTGCTTTGAGCTTTGATGTCCAAAGGGTTTGGAAAGGATGGGGGAGGTAGAGGGATGGGGAGGTGACATTCTGGAAGGTGTGGGTACAGAGGGTTGTGTAGATTATATTAAGCAGACTAATTATGGTATCATTGGTACTCTTTTTGGGAATGGAAGTCAAACTGGCAGGAAATTCTCTGAATGAATACTTTACATCTGTGTTCACACTAGAAAGATTAGACAGTATCCCATTACCCTCACAAATGCTTCCATGATACTTCAGTGCTATGTTCGTCCATCAGCTCCCTTTAAGATGGTTTGCAGTTCCTCTCCCACACGAATTTGATCAATCATAACCCTCTTGTGTTGCTAGCACAAGATCTAGTATGCTGTTACCACGTGTGGGCTCTATAACCCACCATAACCACCCAACAACAAAACCACAATCATTCAGTTCCTGAACCGATTATGTGCCTCTGTAATCCTTTACACCACCGCCCACGGGATGGGTATGGGGCGAATTGAATCCACACATGTATATGTGTGTAAAAAAAAGTGTAATTCATTTCACAAGATTACACTTGCTTAGCTAAATGAACTGAACGCTGGGTTCAGTTCCTGAACCTATTCTGTGCGAATACAGACGGATTGTTGTGGTAGTGATAATTGTGATGAAAAAGATAGACATAGCATGATGGATAGCGATATATGGCTCGTAGGTGACAAATGGTAGAATGTGGTGATAGTGCCAGCTACATAGGTTCCGTAGTCGATGATAAATTTGGCGAAGAGCACGTGTTAAAGATAGGCACGTGGTGGAGATAGTGCCGCACGTGGTGGAGATAGTGCCGCACGTAGTGGAGATAGGGCCGCACGCGGTGGAGATAGGACCGCACGCGGTGGAGATAGCGCCGCACGTGGTGGAGATATGGCCGCACGTGGTGGAGATAAGGTCGCACGTGGTGGAGATAGGGTCGCACGTGGTGGAGATAGGCACGTGGTAGAGATAGGGCCGCACGTGGTGGAGATAGGGCCGCACATGGTGGAGATAGGGCCGCACGTGATGGAGATAGGGACGCACGTGGTGGAGATAGTGCAGACAAGCATGAGTGAAAAGTGCGGACACGTGATCCCTCAGACATGACGGACGCAACACGTTTTACCCAGTACAAAAATATAGTTTCTGGGAAAGATTGCCCAAAGGCTGTTGTAATGGTATATAGCGGCTGCCCTGCTTCCATTATTATAGGTAGTTCTCTTAATTATGCTCAAACTTCACACTTGAACTGACGATTGTGGCATTTTTATATACGTAAATGAGAGCGTAGGATGTTTGGTTGTGCTCGGAATAATAAAAGGAGAATTAAATTTGTGGACATCAGTTGTAACGTTGTGCAAGGTGAGACGCCTTAGAGGTGCCATGTTGTCAAATAACAAAGAATTAAACCTGTCCTACTGAAGTTACGACAGATTAATGGTCATTCACACAGTTACAAGAACACCATATGGTGCATTTCCACAGGGCAGGGATTGTCTGAGAGCCGAGGCTTGGGTGTGAAGTAGGATAAAGTAGTATGAGTTAGTGAGTGTTGGTGTCGGGGTGGTCCGCGCAGCCGCACGAGGCACGAGGCAGGGAGACACGGTCGATGATAATCCCTAGTTGCTTCCCCCCGTGCGTCAGGTCTCATCCCTCGTCGCCCTCGCTCTCAGTGTCTGCCTCTATACTCTCTCACTGTATCAGTGCCCCGCAGCCGAGCAGCCGGCGTGTGTGTGTCGTCAGGCACGTGTTGGCGTGTGTGTGACTGTGTTGTAGTGTGTGTGGGCTTGACAAGAGGCGCCAACTTCCACCACGCGGCTCCACCTCAACCATACTGGTGGACTATATTTACCCTGCTCCCGATTGCGCTCACTGTGGGAACGAGCTCGACTTGGAGGGAAATTGTCCATGTACTTAGGGTTCAAGGAAGAGTCTTCTGTGCTTCGCCCTTCCCTCTCAAGTCTAAGCTGCTTGAGAGGCTTAAATCTTTACTAATACAGAAAGTGTAATTTAGAATGAATAAACTTTTTTCCAACAAGTATTCCGTAGCATTTGTGAGCATGTATACCAAGTGCAAGTCAATATGTATCTTGTAAAGAGTATGTGTAACGTGGTGGGAGTCGTGGGCAGGATGTATCCAGGACGCGTTGACCGGCGGCGGGGGTCCTGCAGAGGTCTGGACAGTGACGATGGAGGAGGAGCAGGGGTAGAGGTGTCCTCGAGCTCATGATACTGCAGGGGCCATAGGCCGCACACACCGTTCACCAACACCTGCAGCTTGGCACGCCCAGGCGGCCCCAACACCTACAACTCTGCCTGCCCTAGTGGCCCTAACCCATGCAGCTTGGCCCGCACAGGTGGCCCCAACATCTGTAGCTTGGAGCGCCCAAGAGGGCCCAACACCTGTAATGGACAGTTGCTGACACTGGGCCACGCCGCAGGCTCCGGGCGCCCGCTGACCCAGCTTCACCTCCACTTCGGCGTCAGATAGCGATGCGCTGTTCACATCCTGCCAAAAATTGACCCGAGATAAACAGTGGACTCTCGATCGCTAGAGGCTGGTATAACGACACTTAGTTGATTATACGTACCTGGGGTTATTTTTGAATGGTGTGAACAACCTGTGGAACAAGGTAATTGGTGTTTTCATGCGCTGAACTGCCCATATAAATGCCAAACGGGGCGCAGTCATCAATTTTGGTTCCAGTTTTGTGTGTGCATCACAGGTTCATTCTCCCGAGGCTAGGGGGAAGAGGGTTGTGGTTGAGCGTGGCGGGAATCCTTTAAAGCTCACCTTATCAACCATGGCTGGTGTTGACAACCCGCGTAGGGCCGCCCTCAGTCTCTCTCTCCTGAGGGGCGCCCGTCAACACTCCCAGTATGGTCCAGGGCAGTGTCCAACAGGCGTGTACCGCCCAACCACCACGCCCACACTCGAGGAACAGCGTGCCCGGCTACTGCCCACTCCAGGTAAGTTGAAGGTAGATAATTAGTCATTATAGCTGTAGTTTTCACATTCAAGAAATGAAGTCAACTCGCTAAGGCCTACACGATATAGATGATTCAGCATGACGCAGACTTCAGGCATGTGGCAAGCAGAGGATGAATAGACGACGAATATATGTTTACACTACGGTAGTAGAGTGTAACTACGGGCAGGTGATTACATCACGTTATGTCCCGCCTATTAAGTAAGCAATTATCAAAAGAAAGCACCAAGCTAGAAGACCACATCACTAACCTTTCCGTACCTGGTGAGTTTTATTTTAACTTGGCGCTATAATTCTTTGTTGTATCTAGCCTTAAAGTTGTGGAATGAGATAGCTTCTGTAATATCTTCAGTCCTTCCTATTTTTGTACCAACGTCAGGGTACGAGTACATTCTTACCGTTTGACTCGTTTGCATTTCTTGCTTTTACTAAAGACCTTGTCTCATCCCCTTAGAATCATTCATGTTGTGATCATATCCACTCTTCTCTTTTCCCTCCTCTAGGGAAGTGAGATTTAGTTCAATTTAATTTGCCTTGTAGCTTAAGCCTCTTAGTGTATGCAAAATAAGTGTGAAAGAAATGCATGTGTAATTACCTAAGTGTAGTTACAGGATGAGAGCTACGCTTGTGATGTCCCGTCTTCCCAGCAGTCATATCTTTGAAACTACCCTTTCACTGTGAAACTACTGACGGTTTGGCCTGCACCACCTTCTCACTAAACTTGTTCTAACCGTCTACCACTGCTAGCAAAAGAGAACTTTCAAATATTTTTTCGGCCCCTTTTGTTTCCTTAGCTTGAATCTATGACCTCTAGCTCTTAAAGTTGCAGGTCTCAGGATTTCCACTTTGTAAAATTTGTCGATTCCTGCTATTATCAGTATACAGGGTATTATAATATGCGAACAAGCTTGAATGGTCCCCCAAGCCAATATGCAACTGAAAACTCCACGCCCCCAGAAGGATTCGAACCCAGATAACCAGGAGCGCTATGCACCTTGGCGTACCTGGTACCTTAACCACTAGACCAGCACGACTCTACAAAAATCCAGGTAGTCGTGAGACTATCCAAGATCCGAGAGCGCTCGGTAGTCAACTTGGGCATAGATATTTCATCGAATATATCTGATAATTGAAACAGACCTAATTCTAGATACCCTACAGGCACTTCAGGTTGTTCTGTAGAAGGAATTGGTACTTAAATAAGTTGAGACGGATGTTCACCTTTTTCACGCTGTCTCTACTCCTCACGTCGCCTTCCTGTCTACCTACACGTCATTCACAGTCCCTTTTCATATCCCCATTTTCCTGGCGCTACATACACGTCGCTAGGCTGTCCACTAGGCTACACCCCCCCCCCAACACGGGGTTGTTGAGGGGCACCTTGTTCTGTTTATCAACTTCGATGTACATTACCATTTCCTGTTTTCCCACCTTGTCATTATAACATGATTTACTACCTACTACTCTACATAACACTATTGCTCAACTTCCGTGTTCCTTACTGCTTCGTGTTTTCAATCCGTCATATAACTTAATGTGTTAAAATAAGCTTGTTACAGAGGTAACAAGCTCCACTTACCTACTAGCTAGTAGGCGGGGGCATAAAGTACAACTTGACTACTTTAAAACCATCATGTTGTATCTGGTGCATCCCAACTTGACTATTTTTGTTAAAATTCTTTGTCGAATCTGCCCAAAATTGTGGATGGAGGTGGCTTCCAAAACTACTATAAGTCCATTCCACTTGTTGACTACCCATAAGTGCCACTTCACTAACCTTTTAAAGTGAGGGTAAGGTATGTTGGCCAAACCACGCACTAGAAAGTGAAGGGACGACGGCGTTTCCAATCGACTTGAGAATGGTCCAGGACGGACCGAAACGTCGTCGTCCCTTCACTTTCTAGTGTGGTTTGGTCAACATATTTTAGCCACGTTATTGTGACTCCTCGTCTGCCGAAGGTAAGGTAACCCGTGAAGTGTCAGGTAATACTTGTACAAGTATTGCCTTACATTCCCTTGGCTCATTTGCATTTCCAGCCTTTACATTTGTCTTGTTCTACTTTCTCTTAATGTGAAGAGGCTATCCTTTTCCACCTTATCTGCAGGTTGTGATTATATCCCTTCTGTTTCTTCTGTCCTCTAGAGATTGATTGATTGATGAAGATTAAGCCACCCAAAAGGTGGCACGGGCACGAATAGCCCGTAAGTGGTGGCCCTTTTGAGCCATTACCAGTATCAATAGATGCTACTGGAGATCTGTGGAGGTATGGCTGCACCCTGCGTGACGGGAGATGTCTCTCGTGTCTCTAGAGATGTGAGAGTGGCGAAGATATAAGGATAGGCTAGTGGAACCGTCTTACATCTGGCACCAATTTTGTTGCAAACCTTTGGCTTTATGGTTTTCAATTTTGGCTTTATGCTGGCAAGGTGCATACCTGGAGAAGGTTTCGAGAGTTCTATTTTCCGACCCTGGAAACTATATTAGTTTACTATTTGATAATGGAATAGCGTTGAAATCTGTGGAAATAATGAGTAATAATTAAACAAATACTATACAGTAACGTAAAATAACATGAATATCCCATCCCTTGATTGTCAAAGTATACCACATGGAAAAGCAAGCAGGAATATCCCCGAATAATATAAAATGGAAGGGAACTATCAGGAGACAGCGCGGAGCCATCACGACTATATAGCACTTGGAAGGGGTCAGGATAAGGATTTGGGATGGGACGGGAGAAAGGAATGTCCGCCAGTCCCCTAGTCAGACAGTTGACCCACATAGTGTTATGTGAATAGTTTCACACTTAAATAATATGAGTTGTAGGCTGCCAGACCTAGATGGTATAAATAGTGTGAGCCCATGTTGTTGTTCTAGATTTAACTACTCAGAACGGTCCATGTAGTAGGGGTTATAGTGAGCCGATTGATTGATGATTGATGAAGATTAAGCCACCCAGGAGGTGGCACGGGCATGATTGATTAATTGATGAAGATTAAGCCACCCAAAAGGTGGCACGGGCATGAATAGCCCGTAAGTGGTGGCCCTTTTGAGCCATTACCAGTATCAAAAGCTGATACTGGAGATCTGTGGAGGTGCGACTGCACCCTGCATGACGTGAGATGTCCCCCGGCACGGGCATGACTAGCCCGAATAGCATTGTTGAGCCCATTGTATGTACCCATGTTGTTGTTGTGTTATAGATTCAGCTACTCAGAACAAGTTCCAAGTAGCACAGGCTATGGTGAGCCCGTAACTTACCTGGCACAGGAGTGGGACAAGTAGCACGGGCTATGGTGAGCCCGTAGTGGACTTATATGTATGAACCCATATAAAGGGGCCGTGATATATGGTAGACGGGTTAGGTGGGACGAACGTGACTGGTGGTGGTGGTTGAGGTTCGGACGGGGAGGACTTTAACCGTTGGTGGACGTGAGATGGGGGGGTTGGGGGGCAGGGTGGTGGCGCCGTCTGTTTTAACACGGGACGATGCCCTTACACACTACAATACGGGACCTCTCTTGGAATGACGGGGGAATGGGGGGCTTTAGGAGAATGGGTGAGAAGAAAGGTGGTGCATGATGGTGGTGAAGGAAGATGGGAGGAACAACAGGTCGAATAATAGAAGAACAATAGCAGGAAGAATGCACACGCCCTCAGGGGCAAAATTTAAGAAGGAATGAGATGAGAATAACATCAGCATTAAGAAGATTGGGAGGATGATAAAACAAAAATATTAGGAAGGAAGAATCAGAGGAGAATCACAAAAACGCGCAGAACAAAAGAACTATGAACAATTAAGTGGCCAAGAAAAATGAGATAAGAAAAATGAACAGGATGATGGAGAACAAGGAGAAGAAGAACGGGAAGCAAACAAGTAGTAAGGAAATGTATATGTTTATCTCTCAGAATGTTCGGTAATACGTTTATTGCTTGTGATGTGTGTCTATGTATGTATTAACACGATGTACTGAACGGGGTGAGAATAGCTTAAGCTACCTCATCCCTTTGTGTGTATTTTACCTCAATAAACTTATTTCAATTTCAACAAGTAGTGAACGAGATGGTAGCTGTGTCGAGTATTGGCGCCGTCTTAATTCTCTGCAAGACGTCTACACAGGACTCTACTAAATCTTCTTACTGCAAGAGTCATCTTTTGAGATATTGCCTTGAAGAACGAATTGGACTGTCACTCATCCTGTAAGTGAATATACCGCCATAGCACATTGTACAACCTCCCTCATCAAAGCAAATAGATTGAAACCTGTTGGGTTGTTCATCCTGTAACTTGTACCTCCTTCAAGGAGTGCCGGACCAACCGGGCTGTGGTGGGTATGTGGGCCTGCGGGCCGCTCCAAGCAACAGCCTGGTGGACCAAACTCTCACAAGTCAAGCCTGGCTTCGGGCCGGGCTTGGGGAGTAGAAGAGCTCCCAGAACCCCATCAACCAGGTATCAACATGTACCTAGACACATGGGGGCCTTGCAAAGAAGTGCCGGAGCAAACAGGCTATAGTGGATATGTGGCCTGCGGGCCGCTCCAAGCAACAGCCTGTTGGACCAAGTTATCACAAATCAAGCCTGACCTCAGACCGGGCTCTGGGAGTAGTAGAACTCTCAAAACCCTCTTCAGGTATGCTCCAGGCCTTACTGAACTGTCTAAAGCGAACAAACGGTCGAACAAGGAGACTTAACATTTACCAACCCTCAAACTGAGGTTAACTTCCAGGTACAAAGTTTGGGAATCTAAAGAATAATATCTGTATTTGACAAAGATGGTCTTCCCTCTCTGCTGCACATATTGTGCAACTCTGCTGTTGTTTTCATCGTGACTGACGATGGGTAATTGTATCCAAGACAGACTCAAGCTATTGCAGAATCTCGCCCTCAACCGCCGCCGTGTCATCAATAATTGAGATTGTCGGCTGCAACTGCCTTGTACCAGCTTGCAGATTCACTGATTTGTTCTAATATTCTTTCC